GCCACCATTCTTGATAGAAAAACTAGATGGGGGTACAACAACAAAAGAAAACTACAGACCAGTATCCCTGATGAACATGGGTGCAAAAGTTCTCAACGAGATTTTTTTTTTTCGGTATGGAGAATCAAACTTGGCCTCATGCTTGCCAGGCAGGCACTGTGTTACTGAGCTACATTCCTGACCCCTCAACAAGATAATTGAAAGAAGTTAACATACATAAAATATGATTGAATGGGTTTTATTCTAGGAATGGAAGGTTGCTTCAATACATGTAAACCAATAAATGTAATGCTCTGTATCAACAGAGTAAAGGATTAAAAACTCTGTGGTCATAAAATTCAACATCTCTTTAGGATTTAAAAAAAAATGTAGAGAAGAAAAGTACCATAGTACACAACAAAGCTATATATGACAGGCACACAGCCTACATCATGCTGAATGGGGAAAAGCTAAAATTATTTACTCTTAAGATCAGCAACAAGGTGTGGATGTCCACCACTTTATTGTTTTGGAATATTCAGTATTCAATCTTAACCTAATTAAAAGACATGAGAAAGAAATGGTGGGCATCCACATAAGAAAGGAGGAGGTAAAAATATCCTTGTTTGCAGATGGAATGATTTTTTAAATAGAAGAACTTAGAAAGACTTTATCAAAAAACTGTTAGAACTAATAACAGTTCAGTTTTTAGGATACAAAATCATGTGTCAGTTATTCTCTAGGAATGCTATTTTTATTTTTTAGGTACCGGGGATTGAACTCAGGTCCTTGTGCTTGTGGGGCAAGTGGCAGAACCACTGAGCTAAATCCCTGGCCCTACAAAATCAACATAAGAAAGATCAGTGTCTCTTATTTACCAATAATAAAGTTGCTGAGAAGTAAAGCAATTCCATTCACAAGAGTTACAAAAAACACAGTGAAAACTCAAAGCAATAACAAAACCGAGGAATAAATTTAACCAAGGAAGTGAATGACCTTTACGGTGAAAGTTATGAAATACTGAAGAAAGAGAAGAGAAGCAAAAAGGAGAAGACATCTTATATTCATGGATTGGGAGAATTAAAATTGTTAACATGTCTCTACTACCCTAAAGAAGTCTACAGATTCAGTGGAATTCCAGCAGCATCTCTGACAGAAGTAGAAAAAGCACTCCTAAAGTTTATGTGGAATCACAAAAGACCCCAAATAGCAAAAGCATTCCCAAGTAAAAAGACAAAGCTGGAGCCATTATTAATACCTGGCTGCAACATGTACTATGAAGCCAACAGCATGGTACGGGCTCAAGACCAGTTATACAGACTAGTGGAACAGATAACCCAGAAATAAATTATATATTTACAAGAACATACATTGGAGAAGGGACATCTTTTCAATAAATGGTGCAGGGAGAATTGGATATTCATATGTAGAAGAAAGAATCTAGGCCCCTATCAAAGCCTAGTTACAAAAAACAATTCCAAGTGGATGAAAGACTTAAATGTAAGACCAAAAACTAAAAGTACTAGGTGAAAATACAGGGGAAAAAGTTTCAGAACATTGGTCTGAGGAAAGATTTTTTTTTTTTTAATACAATCCCCCAAATACAGAAAACAAAAGCAAAAATTGTCAGAATTATGTCAAATACTTTCGTACAGCAAAGGAAAAAACAGTAAAGGGACAACCTACAGTGTGGGAGAAAATATTTGCAGACTATTTTATCTGACAAGGAATTAATTTGCAGAATATATAAGGAACTCCAGTGACTCAACAGCAGAAAAGCAATCTGATTAAAAATAGGTAAAGGACCAGAATAAATATCTCTCAATAAAATTACCAATAGACTTAAATCAATTTAAAAAATATTTCTCAAAAGAAGATACGCAAGTGGCCAATAAGAATTGAAAAAATGTTTAACAACACTAATCACCAAGGAAATGCAAATTAAAAGCACAATAATATATTGTCTCACCCTGGTTATAATATATATGAAGATATAAATGCTGGTAAAGATGCAGCAAAGGGGAAATGTCATGCCCTGTTTGTAGGAGTGGGAATTGGTAAAACTGTTAGGGAAAACACTGGAGATTTCTAAGAAAACTAGAAATAACAACTACCAAGTCCTGCTTCTGGGTATATATCCAAAGGAATAGAAGTGTGTGTCAAAGAAATATCTCTACTGATGTTTTCCTGTCGCACTGTTCATAGTAGTGTAGTTACGGAACCAACCACAGTAGTGTAGATACGGTCCTCATCAGTAGAGAAATGGATACAGAAAATGTAGTGCACTGTGGGATATTATTCAGCCTTAAAAATGAATGAAATTGGGGCCGGGGATTTAGCTCAGTGGTTTCGCCGCCTGCTGTGCAAGCACAAGGACCACGAGTTCGATCCCTGGTACCAAAAAAAAAAAAATGAATGAAATCCTCACATTTCAACAACTTGAGTGGACCTAGAGGACATTATTTTATACAAAGTCAGGCCCAGAAAGGTCCATATCATGTGTTCTCACTTATATGTGGGAGTTAAATAGTTGATCTTGAAGTAGAGAATAGGAGAGTGGTTATTAAAGCCTGGGAAGAGTGGGTCAGGGAGCAGGTAGAGAGAGAGGATAGCTCTGCAGTGCAGTAGGACAGTCACAGTTAGCAAAAACTGACTGTGCATTTAAAAAATGCCCAGTAGAGAGGATTGTGAATGTTCCCAGCACAAAGAAATGGTGTTTGTCTAAAGTGATAGGTGTGCATTTAGTTACACTGACCTGATCATTATCCATTTTATATATGTATTTATTATTGTTATTATTACTGGCACTGTACTAGGGATTGAACTCAGGGCCTTTGATTTACATCTGCAGGCCTTTTTAATTTTTTTTATTTTGAGACAGGCTCTTACTAAGTTGCCCAGGCTTGAACTTGTGATCTTCTTTCCTTGAGCACTAGCATTACAGCAGTGTGCCACCATGCTGGGCTTATACTTGTATTGGAATATAGTACTGTACCCTATAAATATGTAAAATTACTGTGTCAATTAAAAATAGCCGGGTGTGGTGGTGCATGCCTGTAACCTCGGCACTTGGAAGGCTGAGGCAGGAGGATCACCAAGTTTGAGGCCAGCCTGGGCTGCATAGTGAGTTCAGGACCAGCCTGAAGTACATAGTGAGACCCTGTCACAAAACAAAACAAAACGAAACAAGCAAAAAATATACTTAGAATTGGGAAGTTAATTTTAACTGTAAGAACAGAAAACATGGGCCTGGGAGTGCATGGTCTTTGAAGAGTTGTTTGTCAGAAAAAGGAACAGATGTTTCATATAACACGGGGAGGCCTTAGACCAGAGGCTGGAGCTATGGAGAGATTGTTTCGGTTGGTTAAAGAACTTTTTAGTAGACCTAGTCCAAGTGGATGGATGTGTTGGTTGCCTCTGGCGTCACTTGAAGATGATCAGCCTGCACAGAGTGACCTCCTTGTGTGCAGAGCTTAGGTTCATGGCCTCTGGCTTTTTTGTAACCCTGTGTGGTTCTGGGTCTTTGTTCCATCTGGAATGACTTCAGGGATGCTGCTGCAGAGTGGCTCACCTTGCAGAGGTGCCACACAGTCCTGTCTTTGGGTAGTGGAGGAGAATGAATGCCAAAGCTAGGGACAGAACGTGTTCAGGAGGAGGAAGCAAGCTCATGTCGGACGCTTCCTGATCAGAGTTGGTGAGCACAGGGTAAAGATGGCATGGTGGTAGAGTTTTGCTTTGCAGATGGGGAGTTCTTAAATTTTTTTTTCTGTGCGACAGGGTTTTGCTGTGTAGTTTAGACTGGTCCTGAGCTCTTATGTAGCCCAGGCTGGCCACGAGCTTGTGGCGATTCTCCTGCCTCAGGCTCTCAAGTGCTAAGGTTGTAGGCATGTGCCACCACGCCTGGCAGTTCTTAAATTGTTGCTCATAATGAGCTACCGTGTCACCTCATTATCCAGAAAGCAATGTGCTTTATTCTGTTTTATAATTCTTGAAATTGGTTGATTACTTGTCTGTGATGTCTTTTTCTAGCTCTAATTTAGAAACCAGTCATCTGTCTCTTATAGGTTAGTGATATGGTCCTGTGGTCAGCAGTGGGGAACATTTATTGACTGCTGTCAGAATCCAGCCTTGGGCACTCTGGGGGTTCTGCTCACTTACACAGCCAACCATGCTTCTTTAGGCTTATTTAACCTCTTTTGGCTTTAGGTCCTCATGTATGAGTTGAGGATGCTGCTGCTGCTTGACAGTGCAGTGGGTTACTGTGGGAGTTAAATGCACTGATGACTGTGAACTGAGCAGTAATGACCACCCAGTGCTGTACTGAGTGTGGCTGTGGCTCTCACACCTCATGCTCTGCACTGCCCACCCCACTGCTCCAGGGTCCCCTCCAGGAGCAGTCTGTGCAGTGCGGTAGTCAGTGATGGGTTAAAGGTGTTAGGCCACATGCATCACTCTCCAGCTCAGAGCCCTCTGTGCCTCTTCATTGTGCCTGGAGTCAAAGCCAGTGCTCCCACAGTGGCCATAGGGCTGCCAAACACTGTCACCTCTGAGGTGGTCTCTCACTGCTCTTCGTGGTTGGTCCCACAGTCCTGTGTGGCTTGGAGTCCTTGTACTTTCCTGCCCTTCTCTCTGCAGGCACACATCTCCTGGCAGGGCTTTTTGCCTCTTCTTTGCAAAGTGGAGACTTTGCAAGTATTTGTTAAAAAACTAGTACACGAGAGTGGCTTTATCTCTTATTGGTTGGCTTGATAAACTGATGTGGGATTTGACTGCTTTCTGGCAGAGTAAGAATGCTAGGACATTAGGCTGTGGCACAGACCCTTCTTGACAGCTCTGGGTTGCTGTGAGTGTGGCCACAGGTCTGTGGTCAGGTCAAGTCTGTGGACACAGACCTGGCACCTTGCTGTGTCTGACTTCAAGAGGGCGATAAGGAAGTCCTGTTGCTGGCCATGGTCATGTTTTGTTTATGGGCTGTGTTATGAATAGTTTTGTGTCTTAAAACCTAGCTTTGCATCCTGCAGGTACTGCTTTTATCATTCGCTTTATTTGCAACGATGATGTTTACCCAAGAACTACCAAATTCCTGCATCAGGACATCGACTCTGTACGAGGGATCCGGAACACTTACTTCGAGTTTGAAACTGCTTTGGCTTGTGTCCCTTCTCCCGTGGATTGCCAAGTGACTGGTGAGGCTGGGAGGCCTAGAATTAAAAGGCTTGTTGAGAGTGTGGGATTTGGAGTGTGTATGTACATATGTACTTTCTGTGCATATTTGTGTAAATGTATGTGTGTATACATGTTTGTATCTATGTACATGTGTGAATGTGTATTTGTGCAGGTGTTGTGTGTCTGCTGATTCACAGGCAGTACATTTTTGTTTCACATATAAATACACACATATATTTTTAATGATGTTTAGAGTTGTAATCTCTCTTGAAGATGCTCTGGGTGTACAATTTATTTGTATGTGTGTGTGGTACTGAGGATTGAACCCAGGGCCTTTGCACTGAGCTACATCCATAGTCCTTTTTATTTTTTGAGACAGGATCTCACCTAAGTTGCCCAGGCTGAGCTCAAACTTGGGATCCTCCTGCCTTGGCCACCTAGAGCACTTAGATTACAGGAGTGTGCCACCATGCTCAGCTAATTAATGGTTTTAAGCTGTGGTCTGGGGTCAGATGCTGCCTGAGAACAGAAAAGAAAACCAAGGAAAAAAGTCAAATACACACGTGTTAAAGCTTATTGGAGAAAGGAAGAAAAAGACATTAAAGTTTCCAAAAGCAGGCTGGAAGCTGTGTGGTACCATGGGGCCCTTTGATCTCTGGGGGCTCCCTGTTGCCTCCTCAGGGCTGACCTCCTTTCGGGGAGCAGTTTGAGGGACAGTGGTGTGGCTCTGTAGGCAAAGCCTCTGGTGTCCTGCAGATCTCCTCCTGTCCTGCCATCAGGGTCATCAGGTACACACCTTGGCAGTCTGTACTTGAGGTGGGAGGTGATCCTAGAACAAACCAGAAAAGCCCGTTTTCCAGCATATTTTGTTGTGTTTCAGACCCGGCTGGAAACGAGTACGATCTGAGTGCATTAAGCACCATCAGGGAGCCCTGGACTGCTGTGGACACTACTGCTGATGGGAAGAAGAGAACTTTCTACCTGAGCGTCTGCAACCCTCTCCCTTACATTCCTGGGTGCCACGGTGAGCTCTGTCGAGACCTCAGTTCATGCTCTAACAATACTTGTTAGAGCATTGTTTGGCTCAAGGTCAGCCTCCCTTCCCTTCCATCCCTCACCCCAAACCATCCTCGTGTTCTGCCAGGCAGCGCAGTGGGCTCTTGCTTGGTGTCCGAGGACAACAGCTGGAACCTGGGAGTGGTGCAGATCAGTCCTCAGGCTGCGGCCAACGGGTCCCTGAGCATTGTGTATGTCAACGGCGACAAGTGTGGAAACCAGCGCTTCTCCACCAGGATCACGTTTGAGTGTGCACAGACGTCGGTGCGTGTTCAGATCGGCCACGTGCTGATCTGTCGGTAGTTGACCTGTTTCCCTTTGGTCTCAGCATCTCCTGTGTTACTTAAAACCTCGCTTATGTTTTCGTGGATCTGGGCCATTGACAGAGTTTGATGCCCTGCATGTACTCTTTCCCACAAGTCTTAAATGTTTAATAAATGCTGTACATTTGGCTCATAGAGGTTAAAGATTTGATAATAGTTGTGGCTGTTGTTCATTTAATTAAAAAAAAAAAAGAAAAGGAAAATGAAGCAAACTTTTGTTTATATTGCAGGGATCCCCAACATTTCAGCTTCTGGATGACTGTGAGTACGTGTTTGTGTGGAGAACAGTGGAGGCCTGTCCTGTGGTCAGAGCAGAAGGTGAGCCCTGGCCCGATCTTCCCCAGTGACTATTACCAAAGAGGAATGATGTTCTTATTTTGGGGTAGAAAGCCTTGTTATAATGGCCACATGTAGGGTCAGGAAACACTCATTAGGGAGGGGTAATTTCTTATCCTTGAGGTTTTTCTTTTTTACTGCAGCACATTTGCTAATTTTACCTGTTATCTTTTTCTTACATACTTGAATTGGTGGATTCTGGATTTCTCACACTTGGAAACACTACCGTGGATTGGGTTGGGTTGGGTTTGATGAAGTGGGTCTTTATCCTATAATCTAGGCTTCTCTCAAAAGTTGTTTACTAGGCAATTTGTGTTGTATATAAACAAAACAAGATAACATAGAGATGGCTCTTAATGCCTATTTTAGGACAGTATTTACCTGATTAAAAATTGTGCAGCTTATCAGGTGTGGTGGTGCACACCTGTAATCCCAGCACTTGAGAGACTGAGGCAGGAGGATTGCCATAAGTTCAAGATCAGCCTGTGAGTTCAAGTCCAACCTGAACTACGTAGTGAGACCCTGTCTCAAAAAAATCCAGAAATTGTGTAGCTCTTTGCTTGGAAGTACAAATACATGCATGGTAACAGTTACTCTTGGCTTCTTGTGTGCTTTTGAAGGAGACAATTGCCAAGTGAAAGACCCCAGGCACGGAACCTTGTATGATCTGAGGCCTCTGGCCCTCAGCGACACCATCGTGAGTGTCAACGAGTACACCTATTACTTCCGGGTCTGTGGGCAACTATCCTCAGATGTCTGCCTCACCCAAGACCAGTCCAAGATTGTCTCCTCATGTCAGAAAAAGCTTGGACCACCAAAATTTGAGAAGGTGGCAGGTACCATTGATTTTCCTTCTGGTTTGGCTGCAAAAGAATGAATGGAGTTAAAGTGTTAAGATGTTATGTTAATGATGTCATTCTGAAGTAGGAGAAATGGAGTAGCATGTGAATGATGTTTCTGATAGGATGTAATTTTCTTAACCAGAATATGTACTGACAAATGTCATTAGAGGGTGCTTCTGTCTGTAATACCATATTTTTTTCTTTATGACAGCATTTGAACACACTGAACTAGGTTGTAATGGGTATTTGGAGGGATGGTACTTTCTAGGGCCGAGGCAAAGAGTACATGAATTGTTCAGTGGAGGGTTTGGCTGTGATACTGACAGGGCAGACCATTGGTCATTCATGTTGCCTGAGAGCCAAGGCCAGATTAAAATCAATTTAAGAATCCTAAAAAATGCAGTGAAGTAAGTGCATGTGTGGCAGTCCATGGGAGCCAGAGAAGAAGTGATGGCTCTTGCTGAGCAGGCTGAGGAGAGAGGGCATGTCACCATGTCTGCAGTTCCCCTGCCAGCTGTGGCTGTGGGCAGGAGGAGGCCTGGCCTTACTCCTACAGAGTGATGGGATGATGAACCCAAGGTCCTGTGCCAGGTGCCTTCAGGATGAAGGGTGTCACATGTCAGGATAGGCCCAGCCTCCTTGACCCTTGTGAGCCAAATTTCATTTGATATGTTGCTTCTTTAACAGGCCTTCTTACTCAGAAGCTGACTTATGAAAATGGATTGTTAAAAATGAACTACACTGGCGGGGATACTTGCCATCAGGTGTACCAGCGGTCCACAACCATCTTCTTCTACTGCGACCGGAGCACGCAGAAGGTAGGTGGGCACCACCTGCCTCTGTCATATGGCTGTCATCTTGACAGAATGAGTCTGCTCGTGGGTCTACTTAGACCTCCCTGAAAATTCCATTTAAAACACATGATATGTAGAAGATGTGTTGAGGCCTCAGTCCATTTATGTAATTGTTTTTTATTTTCTCTTTTTCGGGTACTGGGGCTTGAACCCAAGACCTTCATACTGAGCTATATCCTCAGCCCTGTAAATTTTTCTTTTTTTAAATTTTGAGTACAGAGTTTTTCAGAGTTGCCCAAGCTGGATAACTTGTGATCCTCCTGCCTCAGCCACCCAGAGTGCTGGGATCAAAGGTGTGCACCACCACACCTGGCTTGTTTGTGTAGTTTTTAATGAACACAGCTGTTCTTACTGTTTTCATCACAGCTGAAGCTCTGCTTTCCCATTTTTATGCGTGTCTACCTTTACCTTTCTAGCCAGTGTTCCTGAGAGAAACTTCAGACTGCTCCTACTTGTTTGAGTGGCGGACACAGCATGCCTGCCCACCGTTCAACGTGACTGAGTGTTCTTTCAAGTAAGTTGATGTGTGTGCTCACCCTGTGGGAAGGTCAGACTGACTGGGGATGATTTTGCTTTAATAAGTAGTGGTCTGGGTAATGGGGCATTTGATGAATTAATTTTTCCAGGCCTCAGCTTCTTGATACTAACACAAGGAGTCAGGGTAGGTTAACTCCCAGATCCATCACACCTTGGAGATTCTGATTATTTTGTGTCTTGTGTGGTGAGATGATTGGAGTAGGAGCAGAGCATTGGATCCCTTGAGGTTCCTGGGTGTAGGTGGAGTCCATTTGGCCAGGTCCCTGGCCCTTCCTCAGACTCAGCTTTTGTTGGAGACACAGCAATGAGGATGATATGGCCTCACCCCCAAGTCCTATGGAGACCAATGGGACACACCACTGTGGGTGAAGGGTGACAGAGGCAAAGCCATCCTGTAGGCTTCTCAGTGGCTTCCTGTGCTCTCTGAGCTCTTTGTTCTTGTGACCCCAACACACTCCTGAGATCTGGTGACCTGGTGGGTCCTGAGATAAGGTGGAGTTCTCTGTGGTGTGTGAATTTTCATAGCATTGCTCTGGGAACTTTGCTAAGTAGATATCTGGGGTTGTAGGTGGTGGCTCTGCATTTGCAGTGGATGCACTGACAGTCTTGACAGTCTTGTGGGATGGGCCACCCTGTAAACAACTGCAGAGTTGTCACATATTCTTCTGGGAAAAATTCTGCTGTTTCCCTTCAGCTTTCCTTGGTGGTTCATCTCTTTTTTTTTTTAATGAAGGTAGAATAATTTTAGTAACGTATAAAGCATATGTTTAGTAATTTGGTTTAGTAACTTTATTTTTTTTTTTGGTACCGGGAATTGAACTTGGGACCTTGCGCTTGCGAGACAGGCAGCAGCACCACTGAGCTAAATCCCTGGCCCTGTTTAGTAAGTTTAAATCATGGTTTTAGTAATGTCACCTTTTCTTTGGCAATTTGTATGTGTCTAGGAATCTGTCCATTTCTTCTGTGTTTTCCATTTTATTAGAGTACAGGTTCTCGAAGTAGGTATTGATGATCCTCTGGATTTCTGCTGAGTCTGTTGTGACTTCACCTTTTTTGTTCTGAATTGCATGGATTTGAGCCTTTTCTTTCCTTTTTTTGATAAGGTTGGCTAAAGGTTTATTGATTTTATTTATTCTTTCGAAAAACCAACTCTTTGATTCATTAATTTTTTGTATCGTTCTCTTAGTCTCCATTGCATTGATTTCTGCCCTGATCTTTATAATTTCCTCTTGTACGAGCTTTGGGTTTATTATGCTTTTCTTTTTCTAGGAGCTTGAGGTTCTACATTAGGTTATTTATTTGAGTTCTCTCTGTTTTCCTAATATGGGCATCCACTGCTATGAATTTCCCACGTAGAACTGCTTTCATTGTGTCCCATATATTCTTGTATGTTGTAGTGGCATTGTCATTTACTTGTAGAAACTGTCTAATTTCTTCTTTAATTTCCTCTGTGACCCATTGGTTGTTCAGGAGGGTGGTATTCGATTTCCATGTGTTTGTGGGAGTTTTGGGGTTTCTTATGTTATTGACCTCCAATTTTATTGCACTATGGTCTGATAATATACAGGGGATAACTTCAATTCTTTTACATTGACTTAGACATGTCCTATGAGCTAGCATGTGGTCTATTTTGGAGAATGACCCGTGTGCAGCTGAAAAGAATGTGTATTCTGATTTTGTGGGGTGGAACACTGTAAACATCTATTAAGTCCATTTGTTGAATAGCTTGGTTTAGGTGTAGAATTTTGTTGTTAATTTTTTGTCTAGATGATCTGTCTATTTATGATAGAGGGGTGTTGAGGTCCCCCACTACAGTTGTATTAGTGCTTATTTGATTTTTCATGTCCATTAATATTTGTTTTGTATAGTTGGGGGCATTCGTATTTGGTGCATATATATTTAGGATTGTCACCTCTTCCTCTTGGATTGTTCCCTTCACAAGGATGTAGTGACCATCTTTGTCTCTCTTAATTAGTTTTGGTTTGAAATCTACCTTGTCTGCAAGTAAGATTGCTACCCTTGGTTTTCTCTGGGTTCCTGTTGTGTGGAGAACTGTTTCCATCCTTTTACTTTCAGTCTGTGAATTTCTTTTTGAGTTAGGTGTGTTTCTTGTATACAGCATATTGTTGGATTTTGTTTCTTAATCCATTTTGTCAGTCTATTTCTTTTGATTGGTGAATTGCGGCCATTAATATTAACATGATTGATAGATATTGAGTCATCCTTGTCATGATGTCTTACTATTGTTGGCTCTTTTATTTTTTATTTTTCCTCCTTTCCCTTTAGTTTCTTGCCTTGCCTGGTGGCTTCGCTCTGTTGGGGCTCATGGAGTTGTGACCCTCATTGTCTTTTTCTAGAATATTGCTTAGAATTGTTTGGAGTGCTGGTTTGGTGTTCATGAAATTTCTCAGGTGTTCTTTGTTGTGGAAGTATCTAATTTCCCCATCAATTTTGAAAGATAATTTTGCAGGATACAATAGTCTAGGTTAGAAGTTATTTTCTTTTAGGGCTTGAAATACTTCACTCCAGGCTCTCCTTGACTTGAGGGTTTGTGTTGAGAAGTCTGCCGTGATTCTTATGGGCTTTCCTTTGTAGGTGATTTGTTTCTTTTCTCTAACTGCTTGTAGGATTTTGTTTTTCTGTTTGGTTTCTGGGATCTTGACTACTATATGTCGATTTGTAGATTTTTTTTTGAACATGGCTTTTTGGAGTTCTATATGCCTCACTTATCTGTATGTCCAATTCTCTACCTCTGTCTGGGAAGTTTTCTACTATTACTTCTGTGAACAATTTTTTTTGCATCAGTTGTACTTTCTCCTGCTTTTTTCATGGACTCCTATCAGTCTTATGTTATTCTTCTTTGCATCATCTAGCAGCTGCTGGCTTGATTTCTCATGGTCCCTTACTATTTTGAAGAGATCTCTGTTTTCATGGTCCTTAATTGCAATCCTGTCTTCTATATCTGATATTCTGTCTTCAGATTCCCTTAGTCTGCTCTGCATGCTTTCAGTGGAGTTTTTAATCTGCAGAATGTCTGTTTGAATCTGTTTCATGGATTCCATTTCTTTTTTATGCTGGGTATTCATGGCTTCCAACATGTTTCTGAGCTCATCTATTTTTTTTAATCTGTTTCTGTTCTAGAGCCTCTAATCATGTCTTTCACTCTGCCCACCATCTCTGTAGTTATCTGGGAAATTATTTGTTTTGAATTTTTCTAGACCCTCATTCATCTGTTTTGTTACTTCCTGTCGTATCAGTTCTGGGTGTCCAGGTGGTTGATTATCAGACTTTTCCACCTTGTTTCCTCCAGAATTTGTCTTTTGTGGGGTGGAAGTCTGAGTTTGTGCCTTACTTAAATGTCTTCTCATTTTTGTTTTTGGTACTGTCCTTGTTTTAATTCCTGGGTTGATACTTTAAAGTTGTTTATTGTAAGTATCTTTTTTGATAATCCTCTCATCTCAGCCTTGTTCTATTTTTTACATATCTTATAGTTCTTTTTGGAACATTTCCTAATTAAATGGCACATATGCCCATGTTTGCCAGCCTCCAGCAGTATCTGCTGGCTCTGTTGTAAAGATGGAAAATGCACAGCCATTGTTGGTATCCTTGGGAGCCTGGTTCACCCCCAGTCCAGCCCACCCCCTCGGTATCTGCATGTGCTCAAGTCCTGTAGATAAAATGGTGTAGTTTTTGCACATAACCTATGTACATCCTTCCATATACATTAAATTATCTCTACTTTTAGTACCTAGGGTAAGGCAAATGTTGTGTAAATAGTTGTTATACTATAATACTTACAAAATGACAAGAAAACTGTCTCACCATGTGCAGTACAGTTGTATTATAATTTCTTTTCCTGTGTTTGATGCAGTTTGGCAGATCCAGAATCCATAGATGTGGCTGCCCAACTAATTCATGATACTCGTCTCCTATGCCCTTGCCCCATGACTGTTGGTACCACTTTTCTTTCTTTTTGGGTGGCTTAGACCCTGCCCATTACTCTTTTTCCTATTCTCTTACCTGCAGACATCACTTTCTGTTGGCTCTGCCCAGCTTGTGCCGGTAGCTCTGTGGCAACGCCTTAGCAGCCCCTCTCCCACCTTGGTCCTTGTCTCACATCTAGCGAATTCAGCAGTCTCATAGGTCCTGTTAAGGTATCAGCAGCCCAGGTCTGTTGTGCTGATACTTAAGTACCACGACTGCCCCCTCCTTTGACCTTATAAGCTGAAGCTCTTAACTAACGGCTCCGGGTGACCTTTGGTTGTATGTTCTCCAACCTCTTCCCTGCCATGGCACTCTCTCACCTTCACTTGGCCACACCGGCTCCTTGCTTTTCTTCAAACATGTCAGGCTGTTTCTTTCCTTTCCTCTTTGTGTGTTTGTTTGGTTTTTTTGAGACCAGGATCTCACTATAAATGTAGTTCAGGCTGGTGTTGAACTCACCATGTAGCCTAGGCTACATTGAACTAGTGCCTTGAACTGCCCAGCCTCAGCCTCCTGAGTGCTGAGATTAACAGGCATATACCACCATGCCCAGCTCTTTCTTTGAGGGTTCATTTGGAGGTAACTGTCTCAATAAAGCTTTCCCTGGCTGCTCTAAAATTTCACCCACACCTCAAATATCACATTCCTCTTCCCTCCCTTTTTTTCCCTCTTCAGTTCTCATTGCTATCTAATATACGGTGTAATTAAAAATATATGTCTTGTTCCTGGTCTTTTTTTTCTACAAATAACTTTTGTAAATATCCTGAGCTCAGCAATTTTCACGTGTTTTGTTTAGTATAGTGTCCTCAGCTTAGCATATGCCTTTAGGATGTGCAGACCCTTTCTGTTCTGAGTGCCACAGCCCCTTGGGGAAGTGCTGGCTGTAGTGGCTCCCCTGCCTTTGTGCCTGACTGGCGCTCTGGTGGCTGAGTGTGGCTTGCCCACTTCAGTGCTGTCCCTGGCTTGTGGCTGGTTCTCGGTGACTCTCCATGGCTGGGTGCAGTGACTTTCATCCTGGGCAGAAGGTCAGCACAAGCCCAGTTTGTTGTCCCTGAGGGTTAGTAGCCTCAGGTTAGACAGCAGGTGACCTGTGCAGCTGAGCTGTAGACTCCGTCAGCCTGCGGAGGGCAGCACTCTTCAGAGTTGGTGTTTGGGTGATGTTATCAGGTGTTGCCTGTCAGAGGGAGTCTTGGAATCCAGGCACTCCAGGCTGTGCAACTGCCCGTGCTGCCTGGAGGAGGAGAGAGGCTGGCGTGAGGGTCTGACCTGGGGGCAGTTTGACTCTCAGGATGCCAGGGACAGACAAACCCTGGAGCCTGTGTGGCCCAGGAGCTGACTGCAGGCCTGGAATGCAGCGAACCTGACCTGGCCTTTTCCTCCCTGCAGGGATGGGGCTGGCAACTCCTTCGACCTCTCGCCCCTGTCACGCTACAGCGACAACTGGGAGGCTGTGACCAGGACAGGGGCCACGGAGCACTACCTCATCAATGTGTGCAAGTCTCTGGCCCCGCAGGCCGGCAGTGGTAAGAGGCTCTTCATGGGGCCAGGCCTGGGGGGAGCTGTTGGGAGGGCATTGGAGTGGGGTCCAGGGCCCTTCTGGTGAGTGTGGTTTGGCCAGGAAGCTGCAGGAGGACTTTAGAGTCTTAATGCTTAGTGGCTGATCCCTGCTGTGGCCCAAGCTCAGCCAGAGCCGAAGGCTCTGCTGGGAATGTGGTACCTTTTTGAATATGAGAAGGTGCAGTAGGTAGAAATGGGATGGCAAGTCATTGTGAGGAGGGCGGGAGGCAGGAGGGTGACACGAGGATCCTGTTGTGTGCCCACTGTGGTTGCTGTGGGGGTCCTACTATAATGCAGGAACCAGTTCACCCTATGGATGAGGGACCAGTTCACTCTGTGGATGCATAGAGCCAGGTGGATGTGTTGGACCCAGAGCTGTCCCAGGGAGCTTCATACCACCCATGGCCTCTTGCAGTCCCAAGGGTGAATCTTGGCCTGTTTTCCTGGAGTGTGACTCGACGTTCCCAGGTTGCAGGTGGCTCAGTGCAGGGCTGCACTGACTTTAGAAAGTGGTTTTCATCCTCATCTTGGTTCAAGGCTGTGACCCACTTCCCCTTGCTATGTTGTTCTGGCTGAGAAGCTGTGACTCTGTGGTTCCACTCTGTGGTGTGAGGTTGGTTCTTCACCGGGGACAGATGGCACAGATGTTTGGGGGACTAGAAAGTGGGTAGAGTTCTTGATAATTTCTTTTTATTGGTAATTTCTTAAGTAACGAGCATGAACTTAGTCTGGTAAGGGTCCCATTCATTAGCTTACTGTAGGAATTTTGGCATCATTACACATGGGGTTCAGACATGTCTCCTCTTGTGTCTTGGGGCCCCTACTCCCACACACCTCACACCTGCTCCAGCCCATGTGTGGGAAAACAACTTTTCAGTGAGTGAGAAACTAATACAATGTCATCACCGATTGTGAAAGAAATAGTGGATATTTTGGAGTGACTATTAGGCCAAAAAGTAGCAGCCAGCCATTGCTTGCAGGTGCTGTGTCTAGGCTGCAGTCACTGAAGTACCTTCTCCTTTTACGTTGTCACTTTCCAGAGGTATGCCCTCCAGAGTCGGCTGTGTGTCTGTTGGACGGCTCCAAACCCATGAACCTGGGCAGGGTAGGGGACGGTCCTCATCGGATTGATGGAGTGACTGTCCTGACATATGTGGACGGAGACTTGTGTCCTGACAAGGTTCGGAGAAAGTCTACCACCATCCGGTTCAGCTGCAGTGAGAGCCAAGTGGTGAGTGACAGGGCTTCTGGAGAGTGCAGATCTGTGGGCCAGAGTGACCAGCACCCTTGATCCTTATAGAAACAAATCAGAGCATAGAGTGGCACCACTGGAGCAGGAGAGCTGGGGACCTGGTACCCAGGGAACATGCATCCTTTCTGGCTCTCTGAGTGATTGGCCTGACAATTCCAGGCTTGAAATTAGTTGATTCTTTAGTTGGACTTGGATCCCCAAAAAGGCCTAGAGAAGCTGGTGCTTGATAGCATGTTCTGTCTGTCTGGAGGCAGCCGGTGGCTTTTCCACTTCCACCTGCAAACCTGGGTCATGACTTGGGCCCATTGTACCCCAGGGGAGGCTTGTGGTGCTGATGGTTATAAGGCGTGTAGAGAAGTAAGAAGGGCCAGATATCACTGCATATGGTAGCACTGTAGATGGGACTGGCTGTCCTGAGTACGATTCTGTCCCTTGCTGTCTGGTGTGTACAGCAGATGCTGGCTGCATTGGTGGCTACCTGTTGGTGATGTTGAGGGGGTCTTATGTGCTGCAGGGTGAGGGGGTGGCTTTAGCTGTATGGGGCAGCAGGAAATGTGGAAACAGCTCCCCTAGGTGTGGCAGGGGCAGTGGTGGGAGGAGCCAACTACTGTCTGAGCAAAGCTGGAAGGGAGCAGAGCCTAACCAGGCTCCCGGCTGCTGCACGCTCCACATTCCAGCCTGCAGATCATCTCTCTGCCTGAGCAGGGCGGTCCTGGTTCAGGGACACCTGAGAGGTAAAGTGGGCACCATAGACTCTTTGCACCCTGGTGCTGGGAAGGAGGATGCTGCTGAATGAGCCATCCAGTTCTCTGGTGGGCAGGAAACATCTTGGACAAGCTGTGAGCCATGGCCATCACCTGGGGAAGGGTTTATAGGGTTAACAACTGGTTTTCTTTATGGATCTTTATGTTTTGACTGTAATAGATGTCAGTTCATATGTTCACAATTGCACCAGTTGTAGACTTATTTGGGCCACCCAGGTCCTTGGAGCCTCCCTTGCCTGTTGACCCCAGGGCTGTTCTTTATCTTCTTGGTTCCCTCCACTGGTCCCTGGGCCTGGGTATGTCAGACCCACCTGGTGGGAGGGCACAGGGTTCAAAGACCTACCTTCATCCCACAGTGATGCCGAGTGAGTGGGGCTTCCGGGTGCATGGGGTGTGCAGAGGTGCTTTCCTGGCATGTGGTGGGGGGATGGGCCCACAGCAGCATGTGCCATGTGGGAACTGTTATGTTGCACAGAACTCCAGGCCACTCTTCATTAGTGCTGTGGAGGACTGCGAGTACACCTTCTCCTGGCCCACAGCTGCTGCCTGTCCTGTACAGAGAGGCGTGCATGACGACTGCCAGGTCACCAACCCCAGCACAGGTGAGGGGTGGGGCTGTCACTGACCCTGGCACAGTTGAGCAGTTTGACTGCCATCAGCCCAACAGCAGTAAGGTCTCAAGGTGAAGTGTGGCAGCTAGGCACCTGCACAGGAGCGTTCTGTGGCATATGGGGACATTTGGCCTTTTGTCTGGACTGGCCCTTTGTGTTCACTCCTAGTTCCCTTCAGCAGAAGAGAGGCCACCATTCTCTGAAAGTGTGTCTCTGTCATCCTGGCCACACCAACTTCATGCTGTGCAAAGCTGGCTGTCTTTCTCTGCCAGCCTGGTAGGAAACCAGGAGGTATCACTCTGTGACCAGAAAGGCACAGGTGGCTCCATGGGCAGTTAGGGAGATGTCCCCAGGTCCATGAGAATCCCAGTGGCTGCTGTGGAAGAAGCCCAGGAGGAGTGGACACAGTGACCCTTGGTCTTTGGGAGGAAAAAAATGGGACATCTTTCATCTGTTTTAAATTTGGAGACTGGTGTCACATGATATGTACTTGCTGTCAGGGAGCAGGGGACCTGAGGGGCAGCAAGGAACTGAAGTCCTGACACTGGGGTGAACTCACTGGTGACAGGCCACTCCGCCCCTTCCACCTTGCAGGACACTTGTTTGACTTGAGTTCGCTAAGTGGCAGAGCTGGCTTCACAGCAGCTTACAGCGAGAATGGGCTCGTCTACATGAGCATCTGTGGGGAGAATGAAAACTGTGCTCCTGGCATGGGTAAGTGCTGTGATCTCCTGTCCCTGGAGTTGTCCTCAGCCTGACTGCTGCGTCCCGGTGGCAGAGATGAGAGCCAGGAGCCACACCGTCCTCTCCTGCAGTGGTCAAGAGACTGGTGGCCAAACAATAAAGCAGTGCATGTGAAATTGAATGGGGCTAAGACCAGATTATTTGACACTCACAGTGACATGTTTTACCTGTGGCCTGGCAGAAAGTTTTCCTCAGGTAATTGGCAGTGATCCCCTAACTGCTTTCCTCGGCTTCTCATGTGGTGCAGGGGCCTGCTTTGGACAGACTCGGATCAGCGTGGGCAAGGCTAGCAAGAAGCTCAGCTATGTGGATCAGGTCTTGCAGCTGGTGTATGAGGACGGATTCCCGTGTCCCTCCAAATCTGGCCTGAGATACAAGAGCGTCATCAGCTTTGTGTGCAGGCCTGAGGCTGGGCCGACCAGTAGGCCCGTGCTCATCTCCCTGGATAAGCAGACATGCACGCTCTTCTTCTCCTGGCACACTCCCCTGGCCTGTGAGCAGGCGGTGAGTCCAGAAACAGGACTGCCCACCCCCACGGGTACCCAGTCAGACTGTCCACTCCCGACTGTCACAGTCAGAGTGATTAAAAGTGCCCAAAGCTGGGTAATGCAGCGTTTTGAGACCTTATTCCCTCCTTTATGCTTTTGTGTTTGTTCAGCTTTTAAATTCTTATGGGGGCAAAGCTCAGTGGTAGAGAGCACTTGCCTAGCATGTGTAAGGCCTGAGCTTGATCCGCTGCACTAAAAAAATGTAAATTCCTATGGATGATAACTTCAGTGATCATTAGAAAAAACTTTTGTACCAAAATGTAATCTTTCCTATTCAATAGACGGAATGTACCGTGAGGAATGGGAGTTCTATTATTGACTTGTCCCCTCTCATCCACCGCACCGGCGGTTATGAAGCCTATGATGAAAGTGAGGTCGACACCTCTGACACCAACCCTGATTTCTACATCAATATTTGCCAGCCACTCAATCCCATGCATGGAGTCCCCTGTCCTGCTGGAGCTGCAGTGTGCAAAGTCCCTGTCAATGGTCCCCCTATAGTAAGTGTGGAAAGTTGAAGGGTGGGAATAATTTCTGCAAAACTTCTGTTGTTTCTTGTGTTCAGTGGAGAATGAATAAAGAAAAAAAGAATATGCAAAAAGAGTAAAGAAATGTGCTGGGACAGTGTGTGTTCTGGGTCCAGTAAGGGAAGATAAAGTTTTGTGTAGTATAGTAGCCAGAAAGTTTTTAAGCTGTCAGGAATATATGAACACACTTTTTTTTTTTTAAATCATGTCAGCAGCCTCAGAGTTGACCCTGATCCAAAGACGTTTTTAGGTAAAGTGGCAAGAAAGAACATTGGCATAGCTTGGTGTTTTTTAATTTGAAGTGCTTGTCTTATTAGCCAGCTTTCCTATTGCCGGACACAATACTTGACACCCTTAACTTGAAGCAGAGAGAGGGCTGGGGACATAGCTCAGTGGTGCCCCACCTGCCTGGCAAGTGTGAGGTCCTGAGTTTGATCCCTGGTACCACCAAAAAAAAATTGTTAAAAACTTGAAACAGAGAGATTTTATTTGGCTTCTGTTTTAAGAGGATTCAGTCCAACATCAGCTGGCAGGAGCATCATTATGGAAGAGGGTGTTGGAACAAAGCTGCTTAGTTAATGGCTTCCAAGAAACAGAGCAGGAAACAGTGCCAAGAGAGGAAGGGATCGGGTAAGGTACTAGACATACACCCAAGGTTACACCTCCATGACACACAGAAGTTTGTTTCACCTGTCTCCTGGGTGGATCCCTAGCCCATTAAACTGACACAATTAAGCTTAACCGTCTCATCTGTGTAATTGAAATACCAGAACTTTCTTTGGTAATGAGTTATAATTAAGGGCAAGAGCAGATTGGCTAAGAGCTAAATACTCTGCTTTGAAAGCTTTGATTTTTCTACTAGCATTTTTTTAGTATGGATTTAGATCGTTAAAAATTGTCTCCATGAGTTATGTTCATATTTTGCCAAACTCTTGGGGTGTATTAATACTTGAAATGTATCTTCAAAGTTGTCTATTTGTGTACCTGCTTCTGTATTATTTATGTGTGTTACCAGATGAGTCCTGTTGTAGGACATGCACATGTTATTTTCAAAGATGGACATTATATGTAGCATTGGGCAAAGAAGTATTGGGAGTTGATAGGGAAAATGGCCATAATAGGAATTTAACAGAGGTATAGCTAGCTATAAGAGAAATGAGGGTCAGGCTGACCCAACTCTTCATAGAAAACACTTTAGTCACATCTTGACTGGGGAGGTGAGGGAGCTTTGACTGTATATCTTTTTCTGAGAGGTCTGGTCTGCTGAATTCTCCTGCTTGGCCACCCTTCATCGAATTTTTAAAACCTCTAAATGGAGCAGGTGTTAAGGCATGTGGTCTAAACTAGCTGTAGAGTAATGAAGGAAGAACATGGCAGCTGTGTACAAAATCATGGGGCAGTAGCATATATATACACATCTATATACCTGTATGCTCACACCAACATACACTCATACATATACACTCATTCTCTCTCACACACACACTTAGCACATATACCTTTCCTGGCTATTCACTTTTCATTCATTTACTGAGAAATACTGAGCAGCCACTGTGTGTCAGAAGCAGCTGGGCTAAGCAATAAAAAGTAATGGATGGGTCAGTCCCCTCCTCTAAGGACATACTCAGCAGGTACTGCCAAGTTGCATACCCGGGCAGTCCCAACGCAGCATGGGACAGGGAGGAGACAAATAAGCATTGGGGAACTGTGAGTGTGGGGCATTGTCTGACTCCTTTGTCCCAGGTTGGAAGGCCTGGTGACATCCTGGATATGACTGGAGAGAGACGTTCTTGTTGCTTAGAATAATTGAATATTATAATAGGATAATTGAATATGAAGTTCCTCTGTCGCATCACTGTGTCCAAACATCCTATTTGAGTTGGCGTTCACTCAGCTTCTTTAGATGCTTCTTGTTTTCAGAGCTAATGATTCTGTTGTAGCTCTTCTTCCACTAACCCTGGGAACAGTTTCCTGAAATGCTATTTGCTTTGTTTTTGTTTAGGATATTGGCCGGGTCACAGGCCCTCCAAAGCTCAATCCAGGAGGAACTGAAATTTACCTGACTCTTGAAAGCAGTACTCCTTGCTTGGCGGATAGCCATTTCAATTACACCTCGATCATCACATTCCACTGCAAGAGAGGTGTCAGCATGGTGAGTGGGCTGCCTGTCACAATTTAGACTACTGCAGGCTGGTTGGCCATAAAGCGTGCTTCAAGTTGAAGAGTGCCCTGATCCAAAATTCTTCCCCTGGGTAATATATACCTCCATGGTGCATCTGGAAAATTCACAGACAGTGATTGAGGAATGGGTAAGCTCACCCTAAGTTAACAGCACAGAGGCTGGCTGTAACTCAAGAGCATGAGCATTTGGATATAGAAGTGACATTAAGTATAGTGCTGTTGCTGTATAAAAGGGTGATAACATTTTTTTTTCTGTAACATTGATTTTCTTCTTATTGGGAAGTCAGACTTTTGGTAGCTACCATCATAGCCTAAATTTAGAAGCCAGCAAAGAACAAAAGATACCTAGAGTCAGTGTATCTACTGCAGGATGGAACATTTTTACTGATAAAGAGGTATTAACTGCTACTTTCTGTACATTAAAAAAAAAACAAAACCAGCTTCTTTTATAATGTTTGTGATAAAGCGGTCTGGCCTGTGCTGTCTTGATACCCTCCCCACCATTGTGAACAGGAGATAAGGTGAGGGGTTAGAGCCCTGCTTCTCAGTGGCCGTGGGTGACTCTGTCCCTGGTAGGTACACAGTGCAATTTCTAACTTTCAGAGGTTAGGTAGGGTCTATATTTGTTCTACCTAATGTGAATATTCATGCATCCTGCTGCAGAAATATTAATGTGTCTTGATTATAAGGTCGGCGGGTGTGTATGTCATATAATAGGAATAATATCCCGAGTTGCCTCTTACAATTCTAGACATACCAAGTTCTGACCCACAGGTTCATCAGACCCACAGGAGTTCAGGTGACAGGTTATGGCCCTGTTAGGTGTCCTTTCATTTCAATAAAGGTGACCTTAATTTCTTGGCCTGGACAAGTTTGTAAAGGAAAAGGTCCCTGTGACTGCTAAATATGCAAGTGCCCATGATGGGAGGAAGCGACTTGGCAGCTGTGACAGGAGGATGATACTGTACAGTCACTGAGAAAGGGGAACACAGACCATTGCTGCATAAGGTCACTCCACAGAGAGGTCCAGAGCACCTCAGAGCCTTTGGGCCTGTTGCTATTCCTGAGTCCTTGGTGAATAGCAGTCCTGCGATATGGAAGGAGAGTGGCGCTATGACTGGGCAGTCTGCATCCCCCTGTGAGCTTGCCCGTCAGAGGGGCGTTGTAAGTGTGGGCCTGGCCTGCAGCAGGCTCAAGAGCTCAGCAGTGCTTTGTCTTTCACGTGGCTACCTGGGTTCTCTCACGCCTCCACCTTCTCATGAGGGATGCTGGGTTGTCTCACGACCAGATGGTCAGTGTGGCTGCCCTCACCTGCAGCTCCTCAGATGGAATTCGCTGACGTGGCTAAGGTGACTCAGAGCAGCTACACCTTGAGAGTGCCTAGGTCTTGATTTTAGAAATGGCAAACTGACTGTATATCCAGTGTGGGGAAGAGGTAGAGATTTTCTTTGTGTTTTCCATCTTGAGTGAAAGTACTTTTCCCCCTTAAGTCCTAGGAAAAAAGATTGCCAGCAGCAATTATAAATGGAATTCTGGCTAGGTGCAGTGACTCATGTTTGTAACTCCAGCACTCTGGGAGCTGAGACAGGAGGATTACAAGTTCAAACCCACCCTGGGTAACTTAGCTATTTAGTGAGAGCCTGTCTCAGAATAAAAAATTTAAAAAGGACTGGGGCTGTAGCTCTGTGCAGAGGCCCTGAGTTCAAGCATCAGTACCACAAAAAAAATAAAACAACAAAAAAGAAACAAATTGAATTCCTGACTGGTGCCCTCACACATTCTTGTTGCTCTTGAGTGAAAAAGGTATAAATAAATGGAAGAAAACTGGCCTATGGAACATCTGGCCATGTCACATCTTGCTGTCCCTCATAAATATCCCCAGCGTCTAGACTTGGTGGATGGAGACCCTGGTTGTGAGCATAGGGACGCACTTGCTGTGCTCTGCAGTTGCAGTTGTCGCTCTCACAGGTGTGTCTGGTGACATTTACGGACCCCTTTCTTCCCATGACCCTGTAGCACAGAGCATCTGGGTGCTGTCATCTTTTGTTTTAAGTAGAGGATGGAGGTTTTAAGTAGAGTAGTGAGGGAGTTAACAGAGATGTGGGCACAGTCAGCTGCCATGAGGAGAGTTGGTTTCTGTTCAAGGTCCCTTCCTATCATGAGTAGCTGCTGTGGGGTCCAGGGTCCCTGGAGCCACTTGACCACTGTCACAGCCCCATTCTCCAGGGTGTGGCATGTGGCCTTCATGCTTGTCTCTGGCACTTGGGTGGGAGTATGGTGTGTGGCTGTGCTGTGCTTGTGCCTATGGTTTTTATGACCCTTGATTTTTCCAACCCCAGGGAACTCCGAAGCTGATAAGGACCAGTGAGTGCGACTTTGTGTTTGAGTGGCAGACTCCAGTTGTCTGTCCTGATGAGGTGAAGATGGAGGGCTGTGCCCTGACAGATGATCAGCTGCTCTACAGCTTCAACCTGACAAGCCTTTCCAAGAGCACCTTCAAGGTACCACCACCCTCTCCAGGGCCTGAGTGGCACCCGATGACAGCACATTTTCTAGTGCTCTCTGGGACAATCTGAGGGTGGGTGGTCATTGTAGCAGCACCTGGAGGGGTGGTTCTCATGCCAGACATCCAGGATCAGTGTGACTCATTGTTGTGTTGTAGTCTCTACCCTGTGTGTGGACTGTTGGCCATGAAGCCTGACAATCTAGATACTGCCAAGTCATCTGGTGCATGGAGTGAGCCCCAGGGCCCCAGCATTTGGCTTTGGAGAGCTCTGAATTCTGTGCTCAGGGCCCTCCTGCAGGTGTACTGCTGATGTGATCATGCTGGGCAAGGGCATAGTGGGGGCGGAGAGCAAGGTACATGTCATTGAAGTATCTGCTCAGCTCATCAACTTGGCATCCATAGTACCCCTATGCCTGGGTGAGGAAACACAGGCTTTTAGGAAGGCTGAGAAAGGGGAGGAAGGAAGGAAGCTGGCCTGGCGGGAAGAGAATTATGACCCTTTCTAGTGGCCAGAGGGCAGTTCCCAGAGAGCCAGCAGGTGGTGTTTGCCTTCTGGAAGTGGCCCTGGGCCTGGGGAGAAGGCAAGAGAGCCTTCTGCCCTGACAGACTGTAGTACAGTCTCTGGAGCTCCAGTGCCACTGCTCTGTTCACAGCCACGTATGTGTCTATGCAGGTGACTCGAGACTCACACACATACAGTGTGGGGGTGTGCACCGCGGCAGCTGGCCTGGACCAAGGAGGCTGCAAGGATGGTGGCGTCTGTCTGCTCTCGGGGAGCAAAGGGGTGTCCTTTGGACGGTTAGCGTCGATGCAGCTGGATTACAGGCACCAAGATGAAGCGGTCATTCTGAGCTATGTTAATGGTGATATTTGCCCTTCAGGTAAATCTTTGCAGTGCAGTACATTTTAAGTTCCTAGCTTTAGCAGCAAGAAAAAAATCCCCTAGAAATGCAATTTCAGATCCTGTGAGTGCTGCAGCCTCAAAGTTGAAGGTGACTCATTCTGTCCTTTCTCTCCTGGGCTTGAACACTTTGTCCTCTCAAGTACTTTGCTGAGTCTTGGCAGGTGAATGCTGGTGTCACACAAATAGCCTAGAGTGGACCGCTTCCTTAGAGGCTCCTTTTTGGGTTTCCTGATGAGGCACAGCTGATGTAATTACTGGATCTGGATCATTCAGATGTTCTTTTTGCATTGCAGAAACAGAAGAAGGTGACACCTGTGTCTTCCCCTTCATACTCAACAGGAAGAGCTATGATGATTGTGTCCTGGATGGAAGGGCAAAGCTTTGGTGCAGCAAGACAGCGAACTACGACAGGGATCATGAGTGGGGGTTCTGCAGGCAGAGTGAGTGGGGAGCCCTGTGGCCTGTTGCAGCCCTTGAGACCCTCAAGGCTCTGCTCATACTGAGACCTTTGGGGATGTTGAGTTACTAGGCAGTAATTCTGCTACATAACTGTTTGACCTTGGGATCATTGGGCAGTTCTGTGTGCAGACCGAAGTAGAGTTGTGTTGAGATGTGGCTCTGCGTGGCCACTAGCTGGAAAGAATTGTGTCTGCATACCACTTTTCAGCCCTAGTGGTTCAGATTCATGCCTCTGCAAAAATGCTGCCGGTCATAGTTTTTTTGGTAGCTAGGGAAGTATTCAGGAAAGCAAGGACTCACTTCATTGACTTTCTACCCTGAGGCAGGCATGAGGGTGAATAGTGTGGGTAGGATGGGATGGAACTTCCATAGTCAGCCAGACTTAGCACCTTGATCCTGCAGTGCTTAGAGAGTGCTCTCATGAGAAGCTCCTCCTAATCCGATGCAAATTTCCAAGGAGAGCAAGACAGGATGAAAACATGAAAAATCCTCATTCTCATAAATGATTGAGGACAAAGTAGGACATATTAGGAACACAGATGTTAAATTTACAAGGCACTGTAGTTTTTAAGGCTTGTTTTAAAAGAATGTTACTTCTGTGTATCAGAGGACACTGAAGTTTCTAGGTAGATATTTCACTGCTATTGTTTTGTGTTATTATCAGTATGTAATTAGATGCTGCACTATGAGGACTCGAGCTCCTGCTGTGAGTCCTGAGGAATTGGGGCTGTTTAGGGCTGAGACTACATGAGTGGAACAAATCAAGCCTGGCCTGGGCAGTGTATGGGGAATGGCCAGGTGCTTGACAGTCAGGAGCACCAGCTGTGGCGGGTTGGGAAAGGAGATGAGGTGGGTGCCAGGCACAGGCTGGGTTTCACTGTTTCCACGCCTGCTGCTCCCCAGGCAATAGCCACCGGACATCTACCATCACATTTAAGTGCGATGAAGATGAGGATATCGGGAGACCAGAGGTCTTCAGTGAAGTTCGTGGGTGCGAAGTGGCATTTGAGTGGAGAACAAAAGTTGTCTGCCCTCCGAAGAAGATGGAGTGCAAATTCATCCAGAACCACAAAACCTATGACTTGCGGCTATTGTCCTCTCTCACCGGGTCTTGGTCTTTCGTGCACGAAGGAGCCTCGTGAGTACCCTGCCCACTGGCCAGTTGTGCTGCACTCTCAGGAGGCGGGCAGGAACTGAGGTTCCTTGGCAGTACTTGGCTCATCATGGTTTGCTCCATGGTTGGCAAAGATGGGAATTCCACAGGCATGTGGGGCTTGGGATGATCCTGAGTGTGATTGTGCTTCTGGGAACCAGCTCAAGTTACTCAGGGTCACTCTGAAGTCAGGATGGGTGCAGGAGCTCTGATGAGCAGAGACGAAACCTTCAGCACCCAGAGAAGCTGGCCTGGCTGGATTGGGCTAGGCTTGGTTTGCATTGTGAAGGTTTGTGCCTTGCTCAAGTTTGCGGGTGCGTGAGGACTTTCTCAGATTTTTGGCAAAAGGCTCTTAGTTCTAAGTTTTTGCTGGCCTTTGCTGACTCAGTTGTCCTAAGTGTTCCATGTGCAGAGTGCCCACTTTGCCAGGTACCCTTAGCTCCCCAGGGCCTCTCTACAGAGTAGATATGTGAATAGGAGGATTTAAATAGCCTTAAGTACAGTAAGCAACTTGCCAGGGTGTGAACTTCTGCTTCTCCTTGCTCTACAACCCTTCTTTCCCTGACCCACATTGCATAGGGCTTGTGTAGGGTAGGAGCTCTGCCCATGATGCTGCATGGTTGGCTCCCTTTTTCCGTGCTGACCTGCTTTGTGGCCTTGTCTCCTATAAAGCTGCTCCAAGGGCTGTGTTTGGCCCTGGAGCGAACACTTGGCTGTCCTGTATGTGTCAGGCCAGGGATGAGACTTACATTCGTCATTCCTCTCTGTGTGTTGTTCTGCAGGTACTTCATAAATCTGTGTCAGAGAATATACAAAGGGCCCCTGGACTGCTCCGAAAGAGCCAGCATTTGCAAAAAGAGTGCATCCGGCCAAGTCCAAGTCTTGGGACTGGTTCACACGCAAAAGCTGGATGTCTTAGGTAAGGCTGTAAGTCCTTGCCGTACTTGGCTCCAGGCAATGGGTCAGAGATGGGAGGGCGAGCCATCCTTGCTGTGATGGAGAGGTCATATGGGCTTTGGTGGGAACCTCCAGGTTTTACTACTGGTGATAGTCTCTTGGGCATTTCGACAGTTCCTGAAAACAGTTGCCCGCTGTGTTATCTAGATGACAGATCCCAGTCTGGATTAGAGTTCCTCTGAAGCTCATGTTCTGGCTATAGGTTAAGCATCTAAATCTGTCTCTCTGCACACATTTGTTTAGGAAAGCCAGATAAGTGCATAAGGACTTGATAAAGATAATTCAGGATTATATTTTCATAACAATTTGGAAAATAATAATGATGCTTTTTAGTACTTTCAGTAGAAAGTTCATCTTGCAATTGGTATTGAGTGAAAGGTGTTCTTTTTCATTATTTAAAGAAAAAAGATAGTGATTTCTTAGTGGAGAATGACTTGGATGTTTTAGAGGTACTCAAAAAATATTCCTCTTTGCCCATGAGGATAAGATGGGATTCCCTCTTTGTTGATTAAGCCACTGGATGATGTAAGTCAGCTCCAGGTATCAAAGTGAAGAAAGGAAATTCTGAGGAAACCTCTGTAACCTCTGATAAAAATCAAACGCTGAGGTTTAGGGGAGTAGCTCAGTGGTACAGTGCTTACCTCGTATGAGTGAGTTCCTGGGTTCAGTTCCCTAGTACTACCACAAAAAACAAAACAAAAGGGCCAAGGATTTAGCTCAGTGGTTCTGCCACCTGCCTCACAAAAAACGAAACAAAACCTTAAATTCTGGAGATTGGTAGTGGAAGGGGAGTTGATTTACAAGAAGTAGTGGCCAGGTCTGCCACTGAGATTTGCCCTCCCTTTGGGGAATCTGATTCACTATTGCTGCTTTTTCTGCATTGCTGAGGAAAGGCTAAGTGTGGGAGGGGCTTCTTAAAAGTCCACCCCCAAGTACTGCTATATTTTTGGCAATTAAGTTTCCAACACATGAACTTTGGGGGACACATTCACACCATAGCATTTTTCCCATGGTCCCCAAATTTATGTCTTCCACATAAAATACACGTATTCTATTCCAGTAACCCGTAAGTGGTGTTCCAGCATCAACTCAAAAGCCTAATGTCCAGAGTCTCATCTAAATCAGGTATGGGAGAACTGAAGGCAAACTCCCCCTCAGCTGTAAGCCTATGAAATCAAAACAAAGTCACATGTTTTCAAAACAGAATGGCAGATAGGGGTGAGCTAGACTTTCCCATACCAAAAAAAAAAGGCAAGAAGAAAAGGATAACTAGTTCTAAGTAAGTTCAGAATTCAACAGGGCAGACAGTCTTAAATCTTAATTTAATGTTTGCTCTGCTTCCTGCTTGAAAAGTCCAGTGACTTAAGGTCACCTTGTTGGGTTAAGGAGAGGAAAGACCTGTGTTTGGAAAGCTGGCAACTAAAGCGGTAGAGGTTATTGCTGACAAAGGCTATCTTGGGTTGCTAGGGAGCACAAAGGGCTTTTTAATGGAGCTGGGGGAGCAGGGGCAGTGGGCACAAAGGGTACACTGTATACAGGTCTTCATCATCTAGGGCCTGTATTTTTTTTCTGTTAGAATATTCTTGAGATCAGTCCCAGTAATTCTTCTAGAGAAAACAGGTTATTTCCCTGCAAGTTAAACATTATATTATCTTTAAATAAAGAACGAGATTAGCAAATCCTTCACCCATGCTTTGATGTTATCTGCATATAATCAGACGTTCTGTAAATCTAGAGAAAAGGTAGTGATTAGTAAGTTTTAGGGCTTACATCCTTTTAGTCTCCTGGGAATAGCTAACCTGGAAGTTAATCATTAAGATACAGAAGGCATCTTTCCTTGGAGACAGAATGGGAGAGAGAGTGGAAGGCTACAGTTATAACTTATTAGGCAGCTTTAGTCAGAGGTATCACCTGCAGCCAGGCTAGTGGAAGACTCAGAAGATATTGCTTAGCTGTGTGGCCTCCAAGATGAGTGAGCTTTCTCCCTTCCCCACCCGTACTAGGGATTGAACCCAGTACCTTTGCATCAGGCTACATCTTCAGCCCTTATTTATTTTGAGACAAGGTCTTCCTAAGTCCCTGAGTGCTCAGGCTGAACTCATATCTGGCCTGCCTGCATCTCTGAATGCCTTCCCAAATAGCACCTGGTTCCCACCGAGCCTGGTGATCTCTATAGCAAAGATTACTTGGACACACTCAATGTCTTCTCCTAAACATGCCTTTTCATTCTGTATGTGGTCAGGCTGTTTTCAAAAGTTTCACTTTTTGCTTTCCTCTTAATTATAAATTCTGTCTTTAAATCATTTCTCTCTTTCCTTATTTTGCTGTAAACACCCAAAGGAAGCCTCGCAGCTCCCTGAATCCATAGCAGTTTAGATGTGGCTTCTGCCAGATATCCTGGCCCATTGGTCTGAGAGTCAGTTTGCCTTGCATGAAGCCCTAGGACTTGGACACAAATCTGCCAAGTTCTTTTAAGAGAAAGGTGGCCTTTACTGTTATTTCCAATGCAACATTCCTAATTTCCATCTTAGACTTGTCAAAAAGGCCTTTGCTGGCTACATTCTATCAATATCCTGTCACAACCACTTTGAATAGTCAGTCTCTGTGCAGTTATTATATATATGGTTTATGTACTACTCTTCTGAGCCCTTGCTAGTGTTGCCTTTAATGTTTTCTGCCCACTATTAGGGCATTTCTAGCCATTCCTTCACACTCTCCTGACTTCCTCATCACCTAGATCTGAACCCCCTTGTCATGGCAACACACATGCCACCACCCCTGTGCCAGTATTCTGCTAATCCATCTTGCGCTGCAGTATCAGAATGCCTGATTTTGGGAAATTTTATTTCTCACAGTTCTGGAAACAGAAGTCTAGGATTGAGGGGCTAGCATCTGTTGAGGGTCTTCTTGCTGTGTCATCCCGTGGCAAAGGACAATAAGAAGGAGAGATAAAGGAAAGGGACCAAACTTGTTTATTCTCAGGAACCTTCTCTGATGATGGCATTATCCGTTCACAAGGACACATATCTCATAACCTACCTCTTCTGTGTTGGGGGTTAAATTTCAAACCATGAGTTCTGGGGAGCAGACTCATAACCACAGTAGTCTGAACTCCCCGAGGCAGACAAGATGGGCTGTTCACACAAGGACAGCTGAGGCGTGGAAGCATGTGTGTACTGCTCATGTGGTATGAGACATCTGTACTATTAAGACCTGTGAGTGTTTGATTCTGTTGTCCGGGGGCTTAAGCTTACTTAAAACTGGAAATTTTCTTAAAATTTAACACAGAAACATAGTATTTAAAATTAATGCTTTTTTTTTTCTGGTACTGAGGATCAAACTCAGGATCTTGTGCTTGGCAGGCAGGCACAGTGCCACTGAGCTACATCCTGGCCCTGGCAGTATTTAAAACATTGAACAGGAGCAGCTTTGAATTTGTGCCAGAGCTGAGAGCCTGGAGTCACTCCCTTGTCCAGCAGACTTTGTTGCTCTGGCCTGTATCCTGTAGGGAATATGTGGGAAGTAAGGGCTGTTCCCATCCTTCCTCCACATGCTCTTTCCTCTAACGGTTTAAGGCTTAAGGACATGTGCTTCTCCTAAAGGTGCCACACTGTGCCCTGAAGATGTCATTGAGCCAGGCTGTTTGTTGAGCCAGGGTGGCTCAGGCTGTCCTCTCCATGGTAGCTGGAACAGCCACTGGTAGGCTCTCAGCAGGGACATGAGAGTTGGTACGCAGTTACTGTGCTGCCGTAGATATTGAAACTTAGGGCATGTGCTGACAGCTGCTGTTATTGAGGTTCTTGCACACCCCTTCTCTGCACCCGTCACACCTGAGTCCATACACTTGTGAGGCAGTAGAGGCTCAGAAAGTCAACATCTTGGAGCCATGAAATTTTTGAGCAGAAGGGCTGAGGTTCGAACCGAAGTTTACTGTTGCTGGTGGTGGGGGCGGCGCAGGACAGAGGCTGCCACTGCACTAGGTGGTGGTGAGAACAACTCAATAGAACACACTTGTCCTGGCCCCTTCAAGTTGATTTTGACTTCTGACATCAGGCTTTTAGTGCACACTAGAAATAACTTCAATTTAATCACTTTTGTGTTTTAGATGACAGAGTTATTGTTACTTACTCAAAAGGCTATCCCTGTGGTGAAAATAAGACTGCGTCCTCTGTTATAGAGCTGACCTGTGCAAAGACTGTGGGCAGGCCTTCGTTCAAGAGGTGAGGGATGCCAGAGCGTTCTTAAGCTCTGCAAGGCCTCTCGGGGCCAAGGGGGCAGGGAAGGTGGACACCGGGGAGAGGATGCTTAGGGTATTGGCACAGGCAAGGGCTGGGGCCTGGGGACCACAGGGAGGAGTCCCTGGGTAGGGTGCAGAGACATTCCATTGGTAGGCTGATGCAACTTCTTCAGCCTCACTTACCTGAGACATTAAGGTCCCGAACTGGGTAGTGCTGAGTGTACTGGTTGACAGTGTTGGATTGGCCTCTGTCTTTCAATATCATGGTAGAGCCAAGGGGGCATTGGTTATATCACCCAGCAACCTGTCGGAGATCCAGGAGCAGGTGGGACCTGCACCAGAGAGGCTCTTGGATTATTTTTGAATTCTCCTGGCAGAGTTTTATGGTACTAGGGGACGTATGGCCAGCAGGGGGAGCACGTGAACTGTTTGGGAACAGATTCCTTCTGGAAGCTGGGCTTGGAAAAAGGAGTTCCAGAAATTGCCTGAGAACTTTTCTGTCTCTGAGTCTGAGCTTTTAAGTCAGAAATTTAGAAATCTAGGAGCAAGTATTTTCAACTCTCAATGTACATTTTCCAAAATTTAAAACATTTGTATCCAATACTTGTCTTCTTTTTTTACATTACTGACATGCTACACAGTGATCTTCCACAGTGCTAGAAAAAGGTGAATGACATTTCCCTCCCACCCTGGAGCTCTTTGTGCTGTGCAGTGTGGGGACTGCCTAGAGTCCCTGTGAAGCCATGGGGCTGTCAGGGAGGCCTTGAAAACCCAGCTAGCCAGTGAGCCAGTGAGGGCCAGTGAGCTCTTTCCGGGCCCTGGCCAGGGTCTCTTTATACCCACCTGGGAGGTGACCTGTCTGTGCATCCTCTCAGGTTTGACATCGACAGCTGTACCTACTATTTCCGCTGGGACTCTCGGGCAGCATGCGCCGTGCGGCCTCAAGAGGTGCAGATGGTGAATGGGACCCTCACCAACCCTGTGAATGGCAAGAGCTTCAGCCTTGGGGATATTTATTTTAAGTAAGTGAAACATTTTCCTTATGAGCATGAGGCATATTAAAAAATAAACCAGTAATTCCGGTCTTTTCTTAGTGAGAGCTCCATAACAGAAATAGGTTTGTATGTTTTAGTTACTGTTGCTGGAAGAGTCATATTTTACTTAAACCAAAAGAAAAGCGTTACTCAGCTACTAATGTTTAACACCAAAAATGGTTAATTCTTGTTCAAAATAGCCTCCTGTCCCCACCTCCTGATGAACCTGGGGTAGAAGCCAAAGCCCTCTGGAAGCAGGGTTGGGTGAGACTCCTCTGGGATTCCCAGCTGTGGGTCATAGCCTTGGAGAAAGATGCTTTCACACCAGAACATGGAGCCTTAGTGCAGTAGGACAACTGAGGCAGAAGCTGGTGCTCTAGAGACTCTGGGGTCATGGAAGCACTGCCCTGGCTTCAGGATGCAGGGGAAAGGAAACATCTGGACTCCACAGTCCCTCCAAGAACTAGGGGTGAGGTGGTTCTGTTTAAACCCAACCTGAAAGACTGTGCTCTTTCTACTGCCTCTCAGACTGTTCAGTGCCTCTGGGGACATGAGAACCAATGGGGACAGCTACCTGTATGAAATCCAGCTCTCCTCCATCACCAGTTCTTCCAACCCAGCCTGCTTCGGAGCCAACATCTGCCAGATGAAGCTGAATGGCGAGCACTTCATCAGGAAAGTGGGCACCTCGGACAGGACCAAGTACTACATCCAGGGTAACTCTCCACCCCCATCAGCCTTCTGTGCTTAACTCCCTCGGAGAAAGGGCTTTAACATTTCCATCAGCAAACTCATCACAGTTTTCAAATAAAAGCCCTGTTGTGATTCTAAGATATGCTCTGAAGGGAAGTGCACAGTCTGTTAAGGCCTGAACATCTGGCTGCAGGTGAATCCTGCCTCAGTGAACACAGGGCTAGTATGGCACCTTTGTGAGCCAGAGCTGCTCACGGGACAGGGGCAGGCAGAATTACTGAACTTGAGTTAAGCCTGATGGTGTCCTTATTTTGAAACTTAAATCAGTGTTAGAGAAGGCTAAGAATTTCATACTCACCAAAAAGATCCAAGATGCAGGCTGACTCTTACTGCCGGCCCACTTGTGAGAGAAGAGCATGAGGAGGTTTGATAGGGTCTCTGAGGAAGGGGTTGCCCTCACCTTTGTCATGAGAGTCATGAGAGAATCTTCCTGCCCTTTTGTCAAACAGCTTGTCTTTCATTGTGTGCCTTTCATTATTTGATTTTTGAACTGTGTGGCTATATTAAATTTTTAAGGGTGTGTTGGGAACCTCAGCCTTTCTGATAGGAAAGGCTGTTGAGAACCCTGAGCGGGGAAGAGAATGGAGTCTGGGAGGAAGCATGAGCTCCATGCTCAGGAACCTGGGGCCCAGTAGCAACAGGCCTACAGTAGTGCCTAATGGAGGGTCACCAGGAGACGGGCTAACCTTTTGGATCCTGGCCCCAGAGCTATGGCTGGGCCCTGGGCACCATGAGCACTATAGCCCCTGGATAGAAATGAAGTGCTTGTTCTGCCTTTGGGCCTGTGAGGCAGTAGGAAATTTGATCAACTCATTCATTCTCATAATTCCACTTCATAGAAAAACTACCTGTTTCCCTGTTCTTTTGCTTTCTTGTCACTTTAGTGACACCTCCAGTAACTTGGGGTCAGATGCACACATCACAAGCACCTCTTGTCCTGCCTTGCTGTCCTGTCTCCTCAAGGCCTGGCCCTGAGGGGCTAATGGGTAAATAGTGGTTGATGCTAAAGGATTGCTTTTAGAGCCTTCAGCATGCACAGAGGAAAGGCCAAGTTCTTTTCCATACAACTTGAAGATCTTTGACAGATTGCACTCAGTTCTACTGGCTGCAAGCATGGCTCCAGCCATTGTGTATCTATAAGCTTGCAGTCCTTCTGCAACCTGCTTTATATGGGTCACCTTTGCTGTCATGCCTTGGCCGCCCACCTCCCCAACCTGAGGAAGTCTGCTTTCACACACCCAGGGTTTCTATGTTCTTTGAATGTGTGGGAGTGTTCAGGTTCCACAGCACCATGCTGGTTATGAGTAAAGCCTTTACTTTTGTGTCCACACGACTATACTGGGTAGACTTTTAGAACCTCCAGCTTTCAGGACATCCATGTGAGGCACGGTGGTGTGTGTGTATGTATACATGTGCCTTTATTCTTAGGTAAGGAAATCCCTTCCAGACTTTTCTGCTTTCTTCATTCACCAGCACCAAAAAAGTAGCTCTTGTACTCATGAGTCTTTGATCATTCCTGAGGGTAGGAAGAAGAACCTGCAGGGCCCTGTCTCTAGGTGTAGAGCTGCCGCCTCGGCTCCTCACCTCCTTGGTGATATGCTGCCACACTGCCCTGCAGTGCCTTGGTCAGTTCCTGCCTTGGCCCATTGTACCCCACCTCTTCCCTGGGTTCCTATGGACAGCTCCATCCCATACTGAAATGCCTTTGCTCACAGAGAGTGTGAGCCAGCCAGAGTTAGGCAGAGAGCACACAGAGACCTCTCACATCTGACACCAGTGGCAAGTTCTCAGAACCTCTCTCCCAGTTAGTAATGTAATAGAAGAACTCACAGGTCTCACTGGAAGCTGCTGTATTTGGTTTTATGGTGGCAGCAGAAGGATGTAGATTACAGTCCACCATAAGAACGGGTTGAGGGAGGATAGGGTGGGTGGGTGGGTGAGGCAGGGTCCAGGAGGACTCAGATGCAAAGCTTCTGCTGGCCTCTCCCTGATGGGACCAGATACCATGTGTGGAGTAGTGTAGCCAGAATGCTTGCTGAGCTTGGTGTCCAGAATTTTTGCTGGGGTACCATTGTGCAGGCCCGATTGATTGATTGACTGATTGTCCATATAGTTGGTTTCTCTCCCCAAGTGGGCTGATGCCATCTTCAGCCCCATTCCTTGCCATGTTGTGAGCCAAAGTCAGAGGTCTGGCCTCTTTGGTGAGGTGTGCTTACTTAGGGCAAGGGCTCTCTGAATGTCCTTGGGTGAGCTTGTTTAAACTATGAAAGCTGACCATACGTGGGACATTGCACATTATATCGTTACATCTGATTTTGAGTCTGCCTATGAGGTCTGTGCCCGGGAGGCTGGTGGTAACTGCTTTGGCTGTGTGTGCTGCTTCCTGCTTCACAGATGGCGATCTCGATGTTGTATTTGCCTCTTCCTCCAAGTGTGGGAAAGATAAGACAAAGTCAGTCTCCTCCACCATCTTCTTCCACTGTGACCCTCTGGTAAAGGAAGGGATACCTGAGTTCAGTCATGAGACCGCCGACTGCCAGTACCTCTTCTCCTGGTACACCTCTGCTGTGTGCCCCCTGGGGTAAGTACAGTGTCCTGGATGCTCAGCACTTTGCCCTGTGCCCTCTCAAAAACTGTTCTAGAGGGCAGGAAGAGAAACCCGCAGGGCCATGTCTCTAGGTGTAGAGCTGCCGCTCGGGCTCCTCAGCTCCTTGGCAATTCGCTCCCACACTGCCCTGCAGAGCCTTGGTGTGGTCCCTGCCTTGGCCATCCCCAGGGGCCTGTGGGGCCTTCCTGAGCCCATTATACCCCACACAAGTTGATGTGTTCATGTTTTCCCTAGTGTTTTATTGTAAAGTATTCAGACCTGCACAAAAAATAGAGATGGTTCTATCCCCTCAAGCCAGCACCCTGCCCCCATGATTGTCAGCATGCTGCTGTAACCCATCACTCCAGCAGCATTAGCTGTGCTTCCTTCATGCACACAGTGTCCCAAGCTGGGTCCCACCTGAGCACTCCATGCTGTTCATCTGCACCTCCTTGGCCTCAGCTGCTGGGGCAAGCACTAGCCAGGCTTTGTCTTTGATTCTCAGCACATCTTCTCTTTGTATCTGGTGCAGGTTTTATATGGTAAAATTTCACTTTGACTGGGATGAGGTATTTTCTGTGTTTGAATGAGTGAAAAACATGTTCTATGGAACTTGAAAATGAACCATAGGCCGGGTTCCCCTGGGCAGCAAGGTGGGGTCACTTTGACCCTGAGCTACCCAGGCAGGGAGAGGTATGCTGCTATGGGCCACATTCTCCTCTTTGGGAGCTGGTGCTCCTTGGCTCAGAACCACTGGGGCTCACACAGTATTCATCTTGGATTTACTTTCTTCTTACTTCACCCAGGCTAACATTTCTCATAAGCTTTCCATTCTCTGTCCAGTGATTTTAATATCAAGAGAAAAATGAATTCTTACCATGTCATTTCCTGAGAAAGGAACCTACCAGTGGCAGACAGCAGTGGTAGGGATGATGGGAAAATTCCAGTCATATTTCTTAGATCTTAGATCCTTTTTTCACTTACAGGTGCTACCTCAGCAAAAAATAGCTTTGTCCTAAATTGTTCTAGGGACACGGGCATAAGGACTTTTAGCTTCATAATCATGAAAAGAGGCTTTAGGTTGTCATTTCACTTATGGTACTTCAGCTTTTGCACACACCTGTAGTGTTTTGTTTTTTTTTCTTCAGAGGAGACTATGGCTTCCTTTTTTTTAAATAGTAAAATATTTATTGGTACATTTTAGACATACATAATGATAACACTCATTGTAGGGAATTTGCACCTGTACACGATATATCCCACCTCTTTCTTTCCCATTACCCCCCTTCCTTCCCTATATACAAAAGCTTTGTTTCCAATTTTTCCTTCTATTTTCACTTTTTTTTCTTGTCCTTTCTTTCCTTTCTCCCTCTCCGCTCCCTTGTTTCCCTTCCCATTTGATTAACATTTTAGTCCTCATTTCCACTTTCGGTTTCTCACACCAGAGAAACAAAGCAGTATTTAAACACACATGTCTGATTTATTTCACTTAAGAGTATGCTCTCAAGGTCCATCCATGTAGCTGTAATTGTTTTATACTCATCCTTCTTTATGGCAGAGTAATACTCCGTTGTGTGAAAAAACCACATCTTCTTTATCCATTCATCAGTTGATGGGCTTTTGGGCTGTTTCCAAGATTTAGCTATTACAAACTGTGCTGCTGTAAACATGAATGTGCATATATTGCTTTGGTAGGGTGCTTTTAATTCTTTCAAGAAGATAACAAGAAAGGGAATAGCTGGGTCGAATGGAACCTCTAGTTTTAGTTTTTTGAGGAATCTCCACGCTGATTTCTACAGTGTTTGCACCAGTCTGCACTTCCATTAACAGTGGAAAAGGTTTCCTTTTTCCCCACAGTCCTGCCAGCATTTGTTATTGGTTGTTTTCTTGATGATAGCCATTCTTTCTGGAGTGAGATGGAATCTCAGAGTTGTTTTAATTTGCATCTCTCAAATAACCAGTGATGTTGAACAATTTTCATATATTTATTTGCTGTTTCTACTTCTTCATCTGAGAAATGTCTGTTCATTTCTGATGCCCATTTTTGGATTGGGTATTTAAATTTGGGGGTTCTGATTTTTTTGAGGTCTTTATATATTCTAGATAGTAGTCCTTTGTCTGAGCTGGCAAAATATTTTCCCACTCTGAGAGTTGTCTCTTCACTCTGTTAGTGGTTTCTCTTGTTGTGCAAAAGCTTTTTAGTAAGATGAGAGCCCAGTTCTTGATTCTTTGTGCTAGTTCCCGTGTGACTGAGGTTTTGTTCATGAAGTCTTTGCCTCCTTCTATGTCCTCAGGCATTCTACCTCTTTTATCTTCTAGCAGATTTAGTGTTTCTGTTTTAATATTTAGATCTTTGATCCATTTCAATTTTAGGTTAGTGCATAATGAAATATATGGGTCTAGTTTTCATCTTCAGCATGTGGAAAGCCAGTTTTTTCAGCACCATTTATTAAAGAGGCTATCTTTCTTCCAGTGAAGGTGTTTGGCTCCTTTGTCAAAGATGAGGTGGCTGAATATGTCTGAAGTTGTTTCTGCATCTTCTAATCTGTTCCATTGATCCTTGGGCCTGTTCTTTTGCCAGTATCATGCTGTTTTTATCACAGATTTGTAGTATAATTTGAGGTCCGGGATTGTGATGCCCCCTGCCTTCCCTTTGTTGCCTAGAATTGCCTTTGCTATTCTAGGTCTCTGGTTCCAAATGAATTTTAGGATCGTGTTTTCTAATTCTGTGAGATAAAAATGCTGTTGGAATTTTGATTTGAATTGAATTAAATCTGTGTAACAATTTTGGAAATATGGCCATTTTCACTATTTTGGTTCTTCCTATCCAAGAACAAGGGATATCTTTCCATTTTCTGATATCCTCTTTGATTTCCTTTTTCAGAATACTGTAGATTTCAATGTAGAGGGCTTTTACTTCCTTCGTTAGATTGATTCCTAGGTATTTAATTTTTTTGGATGCTATTGTGAAAGGTATTTCCCTAATTTCTCTTTCAGTGAGTTTGTTATTTGTGTACAGGAACGCTATTGATTTTTGAGTGTTGACTTTGTATCCAGCTATGCTACTGAGTTTGGTTGTCAAATCTAGAAGTCTTTTGGTGGAGTTTTTAGGGTCTTATACGTAAAATATCATGTCATCTGCAAACACATGTAGTGTTCTGAAGAAGTTACTACAAAATGAAAAAGGATTAAAACTAGATGTTCTTTGTGAAAGAAGGAAAATGTGAATTAAAAAATTAATAAAATTTCAAGAGTACACTTTCTTGACACTGAGAGATTAAAATACCGTAGGCTAAATCCTTCCTTAAGGTTTTCTGTGTATGTTTAGAGGTTCTGTCAGGCTGGGCACATAGAAGTCAGGTTGCTGTGAGTGGGAAAAGGAGATGCATCTTGAGGGCCCAGTTCATGGGACTTTGGGGTCCCACTTCAGAACCAGAGAGGAAGGTTCCAAGGAAAAGCTGCTTTTTATGACATTCATAGTATCGGGAACTGGAGGTGCTTACATCTCTTAACACATTGATAAAGCAGTAAAGACTTCAAGGGAAATAAAAAACAGAAGTTAAAAGCAGTAGTGTACAGTGCTCAAACAAGGCACTCCCAATGTCTTTACTCACACCAGGGTGGATGGCTGAAGTGTTACAGGTGTGGTCACAAGGCAGGATACTCCCTGTTTAGGTTTTTTCATTTTATCGAAGTATCAGTTGGATATGTTTAAATCAAATGTAAATATAAAAAAAAAAACAAGTGACAGCTATCATTCTAATGAAAATTGAGATATCACCCTTTTTAGTTTCTTTTAGCTATTTCTTCTAGAATTTATGTCAGTGCTTTCTTGGTACTGGGAATTGAACCCAGGGTCTTGACACTGAGCTTACGTCCCCAGCCTTTTTAAACATTTTTTACTTTGAGATAGAGTCTCAGTAAGCTACTACGTTGCCTAGAACAGGCTTAAGCTTGGTGATCTTCCTGTCTCAGCCTCCCATAGCTCTGGAATTACAGGTGAACACCACCATGTTCAGCTACCTTGTTGTTTTTGATGAATATTTTATATTCTCTTTGTTGACTTCCTGCAGATAACTCTTTTATGCCCTTCCTTACTTTCCAGAATTGGGTACTTCACAATGTGGGTACAGCAGTAGTCAGTGCTTATGTATTTATGCTTTTTTTTTTGTGGTACCAGCAATCAAACTTGGGACCTTGCGCTTACCAGGCAGACAATAGAACCACTGAGCTAAATCCCCGGCCCAGTATTTTTGTTTTTATTAAATTATTTTTCAAAGGTTAATAAACCTGCATCTGGAGATGGAAGGGGCTCTTGTGTGCCCAGCACAGTTAGTAGCAGTGACAGGAAGGCCCACACAGTTGTGAAGCATCAGAATAGCAGGTGTACAAAAGACTCTACAAGTGCAGGGGAAGCTAAATTATTGAATTAAAGAATCATGTAAAAGTGAAAATACTGGGCAGCAGTAGTTTGTAAGCTGCATAGAAGAAATAGTTTCTTACTGATTAATTTTAACCTTTTTGTTTTGTATGCATGCCAATTTTTTAAGAACAATCACTAAAATAAAAATATGTAATATAATTTCTAATGCAGTAGTGAAGAAAAGAAAAATAAATTCAGGTTCCCCAGAGAAGACAAAAAAGGGAAGAGAAGCAGAAACAAAATCAAAGGCATGTAGGAATAGCCTAAGATGGTAGAAATAAATCTAAATATATCAGTGATCATTTTAAATATAAATAAACTGCTGGGGATTTAGCTCAGTGGTTCCACTGCCTGCCTCGCAAACGCAAGGTCCCTAGTTTGATCCCTGGTACCAAAAAACACCCCCCAAAACCCAACAAGAAATATAAATAAACTTCTAATTAAAAGACCAATTGTCAAAGTTGAATTTTAAAAACACCTGTGTTTACAGGGAATACAATATGCCTAAAACAAGGACACAGAAAAGCTCAGAGTTCAAAGTGATAAGAAAAAAAAAGTGCCAGGAAAATAACAGTCTGAAGGAAAGATGGAGTGGTTGTGGTAACATTGGATAAAGCGAGACACTGTCAGAAAATGCAGGGGAACCGTAGAAGGGTGAGTTCATTAGGAAGACCCAGGAGACCCGAACGCCTGTCAGCCTGAGCAGGCAGCTTCTGCATGTGAAGCAGAACCCACAGGCCACACACAGGCAGAAGTGCCAACTCACCTTAGCTCGGTGATAGCTGGGCCACATCCGCAAAGAGTAACTGGGAGGCTGGGGTGACTCTGAGGAGAGCTGGATAGAATAGACATACGGAGAGCACTGTTCAACGCTTGGAGAATTACTCATTCTTTCACTCACTCAGAACATTTGCTAAGCTTTGGAAAAACCAGGGAGTGGACAAGTCTTTGTGAATATCTAAACATAGGCACCATATAAACGGTATGTATGTTGGAATTAAGTGAGGAACCAAGAACAAAAAATAACTAAAATCTATAAATACATTAAAAAACAAAAACCCACTTCTAAGTAAGCCGTGACTTAAAAAAAAAATCAACAGTAGAAATTAAACCAAATTAATAAAGTGAAAATGTCCTGATACAGCTAATGGGTTTCTAAGCAGTCCATGCCAGTTTTGACTGGGTCGGTTTCTGGGTTTGAAGGGAGAAGTCTGCGGGGTTCTAAGTGTCTGTCAGGTGTGGTGACATCCCCCTCCTGCAGAGATAACCAGCTGTAGGCCAGGATAGGGGTGAATGCCAAGCTCTTCCTGTTGTTTCTTGTCTTTCTGATCTTTTAGTTGTTTGACTTACACTGAACTTTGACACAGACCACCTGACCTTATGTGGCCAAGCCTTTGGTTGGTTTCCTACAGCCTAATTTGAATTATTTTGGAGCCAGATGATCTATACTTACTTTCTAAATGAATAGCCTGCAGCCTCGGTGTCTGACTTCTGTGTGTGGCTTCTCTTTTATCCTGAGCGGTCCAGATACTTTGGTTTTTTTTGTCCTGGGGATTGAACTGGGGACCTTGCGCTTTCAAGGCAGGCGCTGGAACCACTGAGCTAAATCCTTGGCCCACTTTGTTTGTTTTTTGAGTCAAGATCTCGCTGTGTATTCAGACTGTCCTTAAACTCAGTATGTAGCCCGGGTGGCCTCAAACTAGCATGATCCTCGTGCCTCAGACTCTTCAGTGCTGGGATTACAGGCGTGTGCCAGCATGTCTGGTATGAGTGGTCGAGATACTTCTTATTGCTGTGCTTAGCCTCCTGTTGTGGGGGACATGCATGTGGTGGCCCTGAATGACAGGAGGCCAGACAGATCAGAAGCATCAGGTTGTAGTACAAACATTGTTTTCTGACAGAGAGGGATAGCAGCCCAGTTCTTTCACCTTTTATAATACCCGTTTTCCCTCTTCCCTTGAATGTGTAATGTCATGGAAGTACATTACCTGTCCTTGAAGGTCTGAATGTTGGCCTGTTGGGGAGGCTGTGGAAAGGCTGGCAAGTGTCACTAGCACTGTCCATGCCCAGGTCAGGTGTCCTGAGTGTTTCTTCTACTCTGGAAAGCGCCAGGACTGGATTGCAAGGTGGCGCTATTGCAGAAGCCCCTTCCTGGATGATGGCCAATGTTTGCCCAGAATCAGTGCAGTGTGCAGATGGCTCCTTCTTTTTTTAGTTTCTGTTCTGCAGTACTGGGAGTTGAACCCAGAGTCTTGACACTGGGCTCTATCCCCAGACTTTTAAAATTTTGAGACAGGGTCTTGCTTTGTTTCCCAGGCTGGGCTGGAACTTTTTATCTTACTTACCAGAGTCCTGAGATTATGGGCAAGTGCCCCCATACCTGGCTTGGAGGGATGGCATCTTTAACTCCTCCGGTTCCAACATCTTCAGTGCTTGACATTTCATGACACTTAAAACAGTGTTTTCTATTGGTGTGTCCATCCTCCTTCCTTAAACTCCTTCACAGGAAGTTTCTGCTGCCATATCCCATATCAGGTGGATTGGGCTTATTGGGCTGGGGGTAGGAGTGGTTTGTTTAATTAGTCCACTGAGGGCCATTCCCTGGGCTGGGAATCTCAAGTGATTTGGCTCCCTTTCTTGTGATATCTAGGGTGGGCTTTGACAGAGAGCGCACCAAAGAGGACATACAGAGCCACAAGGGGCTCTCGGAGCGGAGCCAGGCTGTCGGGGCAATCCTCAGCCTGCTCCTGGTGGCGCTCACTGGCTGCTTGCTGGCCCTGCTGCTTCACAAGAAGGAACGGAGGTAAGGCGGGCCCCTGGGGGAGCCACACGTGAGGGCCAGGTATATATATGGGTCAGCATCCTACCTGGGTCAGGCTCCGTTATGAGCCCAGTCACAGCAAACATCTTTCAGTTCTTAGTTCAGAAACTCCCTATGGCAGCAGAAACCACAATTTCTTAAATGTCTGCATTTCAGAGCTGTGGCACCATGCACAAGTTCTGACTTTGTGTCACACCTGGTCATGGCATGGGCTCCTTAGCCATTCCCTCTGGGTGTTTAGGACATTGGTCTCTTGATGTATCCAAAGATTGATAGAAAATTAAACATCATTCATGAGTAGACTTCCTACTGATCAGCTGACCTCTGTGCCTTTCTCTCATTATAAAAAGTGAGCATTTATTAAGCCCCCACTGTGTCAGGTGTGTGCCATCTGATCAGCTCCTCTTTGCTCCACTTCTCATGTGACTGTCAGGCAGGTTTTCAGGTAGGGCTCTGGGGAGAGATCTACTGACTGGGACAGTCCACTCCCAGAAGGCAGGGTGGGGACAGTCGAGGCCCCGTGCATTCTGCATTGCGTGGGCTCGCAGCAGGGAGTGTTATCCTGTTATGCTCCTGGATGGATGGAAACCTGGAAGCGAACTGGTGAATGACCTTGTGACTACCAAGAGGTGAAACAGGAGTCCTCTCCGGTCTGATTTCAGACCCCATGTTTTTTCTGCTGAATCATGACAGATAGTTTGTTGCCCTGCTGTCACAATGGGTCATTTGTCATTCTCAACTTCTCTGCCTTGGGAAGGGGGAAACATTTGTAGAGGACATGCAGCCACCATTATCCAGCCCTTGCGGGCTGCAAAACTGGGCTTGCCTTTGACTCCCCTGCCCCTGGTTCTACAGTGGACTAATTATGGTCTCCTTTTTTTACAGGGAAATTGTGATAAACAAGCTGACCAATTGCTGTCGAAGAAGCTCCAACGTGTCCTACAAATACTCAAAGGTACTTGTCCGCTGAGTCTCTGGGGTGTCCTCATTCCCACCCCTGCAGCAGTGCTGTGTGGTCTGTGGCAGTAGAGCAGCATGGGCAGCTTGCAGCCTGTGAGGAAAACTGTTAGTTATGGCCTTAACCTGTCATCCTAACATGGTTTTGTCTTGTTTTCCTTCAAGTTTCTCCTATTGTGGTTGTGACTGATTTGCTTAGGAGTATTTGCTGTTTAGGTGGTTTCCACTTTTTTGCTATTGTCTAAAAACCATGATGATGAAAATCTCTGTGCATCTAGCATTTGGCTGAGTTCCTTCAGATAAACTTCCAGAAAAGGCCTTGTCTAGGTCAAAGGGCATAAATAAGTGTGTGGCTTGTTATAGATATTGCCAAATCCCTTTTTAAAATTAGACTCCCAACACAAGTCCTTCCTGTGACTTCTCCTGCATACCAGATGTTGTCCCCTCCTCAGCTGCACAGTTGTGGGGAAAGCCCTTGTCCCCCAGCACTGCCTTCGGCTTGGCCCTGCCCCCTTGGTAACCATCCAGAAGCCCTCCTGTTGGGTCGCCCTTACTAGGAGCAAGAGGCTGTTGTCAGCTCTGGTGGTGACTTGAGAACGAGAGAAGTAGGGATTATGACTGGTGGGTAGTGAGTTCTGTCCTCAGCTCATGCCAGTAGGGAGGGCCCCTGCTCAGGAGTAAGTCAGGCAATGACAGGAGCAAGAGCAGATGGGCATTTCCACCGGGGCTCATGTGGTCTCTGCTGTTGCTCCCTGGCAGGTGAACAAGGAGGAAGAGGCAGATGAGAACGAAACAGAGTGGCTGATGGAAGAAATCCAGATGCCACCTCCAAGACTGGTGAAGGAAGGACAGGAAAATGGCCACATTACCACCAAGTCTATGAAAGCAGAGGCCCTCACATCCCTGCATGGGGATGACCAGGACAGTGAGGACGAGGTCTTGACCATCCCAGAGGTGAAAGTTCACGCGGGCAGAGGAGCCAGAGTGGACAGCTCACACCCTGTGAGAAACCCACAGCGGAAGGCCCTTCAGGAGAGGAAGGATGATAGGGCAAGGCTGGTCCCTGGGGAGAAGACCTGGAAAGGGAAGCCCAGGTCTGGACAGCACAAGATGGTGACATCCACCAAGCTGGTGTCCTTCCACGACGACAGTGACGAGGACCTCTTACACATCTAACACCATGGTGCCTACAGGAGAATGTGGAGCCATGGGACAGCCAAGCACCTCCAACCAAATAAGACTTCAACTTGATGATGCTTCTATAATTTTGCCTTTAACAAAAACTGCTTCAAAAGGGAAGAGTTTTTGTGGTGGGGGAGAGGGTGAAGGAAGTCAGGTGCTGCTTCTTCAAGGCATTGCTCACATTGGCCAAAGGGCGGTAGCTCGTGCCCAGGGTTTGCCCCAAGTCCTCATTTACATGCAGAGCTCCTCTGTGCGCCTACCAGGTGCCAGGCTGGGCACATCAGAACAGAGGGCTGTGTTTGAAAAAATCCTTGCTGCTTTAGACCCTCTAGGGTATTTGACCATTATATTTTAGCATCTTAATTCTCTCCCCCTATTTATTGACTTTGACGATTACTCAGGTTTGCGAAAAAGGAAAAAAAAAAACAGCCACCGTTTCTTCTTATCAGCAGAATGCAGTGCACCAGGTGGTGTGGAAGGGAAGCTGTTGGGTTGCTGGGGTGGTTTCTCATGACGTTTTGAACTGGTCATTAATGTGTCCCCTGAGTTGGAGGACTTCATTCTGTCTCTTCTCTTTTGCTTTCCATTTTTAAGGGCATCGCACACACATGCACAGGGTCCCTGAGTGCCTAGGTTTGGGAGGCTCTGCCTGCTCTGTGCCTTTCATCAGTGACAGCTGCAGCCCTTTGCATGACATCTTCAGACCTAGATGTACAGAGCACATTGGTCAGTATTGTATTGCTTTTGCCAGCTGGTGAACTCATACAGTCCACCCAAAGATTGACTTTGTTTTTGTTTGTTGACATGGAATTGAGGTGTCTGAGAAAGTAGCTTCTTTCCTGGTTTGGGCTGTAGGTCTCATCTCTTCAGGTTCTCATGATACCACCTTTACTGTGCTTATTTTTTTTAAGAAACAAAAGTATTTATCAACCATTCAACCTATAAGAAGCCTTAATTTGCACAGAGTATGACTTTCTGAGCTGGTGGGAAGCATGGTGGGCCTCAATCTTATTGTAGCCTTGGGCAAGAAGGAGGACCTGGCCCATATCCTCCACTGGCTGTCGACTCCTTTCTTAAAGTGTTTCGTGAATGACTTTTTTCACGTTGCAGAGTTGTACATAGACTCAGTGGTATTCCTATTGGAAAAGCAAACCACCCTACAGAATCTCTTGGTTTGTGCCCTGTTTGGCTGGCTTATTTGATTTCAACATGAGTGTATTTTTTAAAATTGATTTTTCTCTTCATTTTTTTTCCAATCAACTTTATTGTAAGATAAAGTATTCAATAATTTCAATAAAAGATAAATTATTAATTGAGTGTATTTTTCCCCCCTGGACAGTGAAAACTTGCAGGGCCAATGGCCTATCTAACCACCTGGCTTTTCTTTCTATTGATGAGGCAAGGCTTCAGTTTTTCCTTGCAGTGTTCCCAGTTACCCATGTTAACTCCAGGTCCATCTACCTCCCCTTGCCTTTAGACCTTGAGTGGTTCCTGTTTACCAAAACAGCAACTATGGAGATTAGATTTCAGGATACAATAAAGGATCTTGTATGTCTTAACACTGGGGTTTTCTTCTGAGTAAGTTTATGAGTCTTCTGTCACAAATGAGGAATTAAGAGCTACCTACATGTTTATATGAAAGCAGGAAGTTATTATAGTTGTCTTCCCCTATCTGCAGTTTCATTTTTTGCAGTATATTACCTGCGGTCAGTTTCAGTCCAAAGATACTACACGGAGAATTCCAGAAATGAAATTGTAAGTTTTAAATTGTGCATTGTTGTGAGTAGGTGAAATATTGTGTGTCCCACTCCACTTGCTCAGCTTGTGAATTTCCCTCTGTTCTGCAGGTCCTGCTTTGTATAGGCTCACCACTGAATAATGAAGGTGGTAATTCAGATATGCCAAAGAGCAACCGGAAAGTGCTTCCTTTAGGAGAAATGGTAGAAGTTCTTAAGAAACACACACACACACACACACACACACCCCTCCCCAAATTACTAAGATCTATGGTTAAATTATCTTTTATTGAAGCAATGTATGTGTAGGCAAAAGGACAGCATACATAAGCTCTGCTTGAAATTGCAGGTGTTCATCTACTGGGGGTCTTGGGATGTGTGCCCTATGGGTTAGAGGACACTGTTGCAGTGTTAAAAATCACACTTCTTAGATTCTGTATTCTCTCCTTCCAATTTTTAAAATTTAACTTTATTTTATCTTATCCCCCCTTTATTTTTAAATTGTAAATTGGCATTCTTTTTTCCTTGAAGTTTTTATAGCATTTCCTGAGATTGGTAGGGGCTTATAGAGGTTTACATTATATCCTATGTCACTGGTCCTCAGGCATAGGAGGAAGTTGTCTTCCAAGCAATTCCCACCTCCAAAGAAATCAGGAAGCCGTCAGTAAAGGGACATTTGCAAGGACCTGCTGCCCCTTGGTAAACTGGGCAGGGGAGTGTGTTTTCAGCTTGCTCCTGATCCAGTAATCTGCCTACGTCTGGCCCTCAGAGGGAAAGGAAAGGGACAACTGTGTGAGCTTGTTTGACTCTGAGGTACGGGGATTGAAGCCGGTGCCTTTGCATTGAACTACATCCCCAGCCTGTTTTATTTTTTATTTATTTTTGGTTTTTGCTCCAGGGTTTCACAGAGTTGATAAATATCTCAGGCTGGGTTTGAACTTGGGAGACCTCCTGCCTCATCTTTCAGAGTGTTGGGATTACAGGCATGTGTCGCCATACTCAGCTTGTTTGCTTTGACTCTTGATATGTAGTCGGTGTGGCTTTGAACTTACTATGTACCCCAGGCTGGCCTTGAACTTGCTGTGATCTACTTCACCCCTCTGAGTGCTGGGATTATAGGTGTGCACCACCCACCATGCCGGCTTGCTTTGACTCTTCTTAAGAATCTATATGGTCTCTACTCCAAGCCTCTGAAAAAAAAAGAGCAGCCATCCTTGCCGCTGTTATTACGGGTGTTTTTAGGAAAACCTACCTTCATAACAAGTAGAAATTACAGTCTTCTCAGACAAATGATTTTACTGATAAGAGTATGAAAATTTTTTTAAATCAGTGACAAAGTTTATTTGAAAAAATAAAAGTGAACAGGAAAACTGGCTCTGCAGAGTGAGCTTGGGCGGAGTAAAAGAGGAAAAAGCAAGATAAAAGTACACCCTGGAGAAAGCAGGGCAGGCTACCATGAGGAAAGCCATGATAGCAAGCTCTTCTTAGCATCTGTGACCTTTTATACTGTCCACATCTTGAGGAAACCCATGAGAAGTTCTACATATGGGTCTTAAGAGGCTGTGCTGGGATCCCATACTTCAGGCTGATATCAAGTCTAGGCAATCCTATTGAAAACCTGCTTGAGTTCTCACAAGAAGTCCCAAGTGCAGGGCTTTGGGAACTGTACAGTGAATGTGTTCTGGGATCTTGTAATTATCACACCTACTTCCCCAGCCAGTTTTGCCTCACGCTAATCTGTTGTTTCCTCCTGAGAGACACAAATCCCCGTAATTCTTTATGGGGTTTGAGGAGATAGAAATTTCTGTCTTCTATAGCTTCTTCAAGCTGGAGGGGGCTGTACACCCTATGTACTAGGGATTGTGTGCTCTCCAACTACTTTGGGGTACTGTGGCTCACTGGATGAGTTAAAGGAGGTAAAACCTGTTGGAGAATGAGAAAAGAGTTAATGACCATTGACCTTCACTATTAGCCCAAATATGAAGAGCAGATCAGATTTCCACGCTTCCTGTAGCACCACTGAAGTCTTGCATTTTGAAGAGAAATCTCAAGTCTTCCAGAGGCTCACAGGAGTAGCTTTCTCCTTTTGGGTGAACTTGTTCTTCAGACGGTTCAGGTGTGACTGGCTTTATTCTAGAAAAATAAATCTATCTCCGCCACCTTTACTGATGTGAATGTGGCAAGGATTACTGGAAGGGGCCCTTCTCTTTTGGCTTTTAATTGGTCAGTGAGTGCCCCCTCCAAGTTTTTATGAGTACTTGGTCTCTAGGACAGACAGTAGGTGGTCAGACTGGGCCAGGGGCTGGCACGACTCTGTTCCCATACATTTAGATAGCCTGTTGTACTTGGCCTAGATTAATGAGATGTTGTAAGAGTCTTGTGGTCTCTGGGTCTACTATTATATCGGACGACAGAAATAGCCTCCCATATAACATCTCAAATGGACTGAAGCTTAGCTCAGTTTGGGACGTGTTACAAACCCTCTAAAGTGCTATTGGCAGCAATTGGAGCCAGGATTCAGACGCCTCTTGGGAGAGTTTTGCTAGAACTTGATTTAGCATCTAGTTGGTTTTTTCTACCTTTCCAGAAGATTGAGGGCCACTTCTCATGTAGGATTTTTATAGCTTGTCACTATGTTCCTTGAGAAAGGAACAGATGGTACCTCAGGAACTGGGAATAAGGCTAGGGCCTTGCGGGGTTGTAGGGCTGTCCTCCTTGCTTTCCTATCAACCTTTTGATTTCTCAAGGAGAATTCAGACATGTCTCTTTGGTGCCCTTTACTACATGACTGCAACCAGCTTGGAAAGATGGACTGCCTCTAGGATTTGTGGCATTTCCTGCTTGTCCTTTTTAGATGATTGACAAAGCTACTTTCATTAGTGAACCACACTTCCTCAGGGTTTTGGAGGGGCAGGTCCTTGATGTCCTGCCTGCTTGCAGAGGTCTGGGAGATTACTTGTTCATAAGAATGGCTAACTTCTGGACCTGTAGGCAACAAAGAAGCAGAGTTAATAGTAGTAACCTCAGGGTTGTCTAAGAGCATGGCCTGATACTTAGTAAGCCATTCTTCTGTTAACCACAAGTAACTGTTTGTTTCTAGAATAGCCTTGGCCTGAGGGGGAGTCAAGACTTCTAGTCTGTGTCCCAAAGTTAACTTTTCAGTTTCTTCTGCAAAAAAAATATCTCTGATTAGGGGTCCCTTTGACTGCATCTATGGCTATAGATCCAGAGGAGGGTTTTCTAGAGTAGTAAGTCAAAACAGAATGAAGTAAGTGAACGGGCTCACTCATGACGTCTGAGATTACCCAGGGCTCCTTGAAGGAGTTGGTGATGTCCGTGAACAGGGGCACTGCAGGTTCTCCTGAGCCTCTTCAATCATCAGAGTAGGAAATGAGGGTTCTGGCTGGTGTAGCCCCTCTCTGGGAGCAGCAACAGTCAAACCTCTGGTGCCATGAGTCAGGCACATCAGTTGTCTCACAGAGTAGAGCTCAGGCAGAGACTTGGTGAAGACATGTGCCCAGGGAATAGTCTTCTTACCCTTGAAACAGGAACTTCAGTTGTCCTTGGCTTTTTCCTTAGATGACCTGGGTGGGCTTAAAGCATTGCCAACTGGGACAGGTACAATTTTAGTCTCTCTTTTTGTCCCTCCTCTGGGTCCTGATTGTTGAAAACAGAAAAGGCTGTGACCAGCAATTGGGCCATTTCTTGAGAGAAATCTCAAATCTTCCAGAGGCTCACAGGAGTAGCCTGTGGGCCCTTCTGAAGTTTTAGTAGCTTTCATTGAATATCTGGAGGTGACTGAAAAAGGAAGTGGTGTCCCACTAGTGCTTCTCCCTCCCTGGGAGATGGATCTATATTAGTATATTTACAAAAGACTTGATACACCTCTTTACCTAAACGGTAAGAGCAACTAGCATGTTAGACATCATTCTTAGTCCCCCACTAATATTACAGTCCCAGTTTGGTTCTTTTGAAGGGAGAATAACCTTTCCAGAGAGATTTCTTTCCCTTTTTAAACCACATTGTTCATTTGCATAGTTCCTAGCCTTTGTACATCTGTAATTGAAAAAGGGACCTGCCCTAGAATATTCCCTTCCACCCATGGGACCTCTCTTAGAGACAGGATAAGTTGTGTATTAGAGTAGCAAGTGGCAACACTTCAGGTTCTACCTGGGGAGCTGAAAGCTGAGAAGTATGATGAGGCTGAGGAATGCTGGGTTCCCCTGGAGCACTAAGCTCTAACGGGGTTTCTGAATCACTTGGAGGGGATGGACTTGATTTATTAGCCTGAGGACTATAAAGAAGGGGTCAAAGACACCTCCCAGTCCAATCAAACAGGCCAGGGAGACTCACATCCCTCTGAGAGACAAGTGTATGTGGAGGGGAGTCTCAGGACAGGGTCATCCAAAATATTGTTCTCCTCGAAGGCCACTCTATAAACACCATAGTTCCTGAGCATTCTCTGTGATAGTCACAAAAAGTTGAACATAAGGCATTTCACTCTACCTTGTATGTTTTAAGCAGAAGTGCCGTAACTGGAGAATAGTCTCATAGTACCATCCTGTACCTATCTCTT